CTGTCTGAGCTCCTGGTTGATCGCGGCCTTGGGCGGCGGTATTGGCTGGGTGCTGATGGTGATGGCTGCTTGCAGCACCTACTACCGTACCTCGATTCGTCGAGTGCGCCGCAATTTCCGCGACGATATCAGTCGCGAGATGTCTAAGGCTCGTCTCGAGACCGATAATGAGAGTCTCGAGTGGATCAACAGCTTCCTGGTGAAATTCTGGCCCATCTATGCTCCTGTTCTCTGCGATACCATCATCAACTCGGTTGATCAGGTTCTGAGCACCTCGACCCCCGCTTTCCTCGACAGCTTGCGCCTGAAGACATTTGTTTTGGGTACGAAGCCCCCGCGTTTGGAGCACGTCAAGACTTACCCCAAGACTGAGCCTGATACCGTCATTATGGACTGGAAGTTCAGCTTCACTCCCAACGATGTGATGGATTTGACTGCTCGCCAATTGAAGGACAAGATCAACCCTAAGATTGTCCTCGAAGTCCGTCTCGGAAAGGGTCTTGTCAGCAAAGGTCTGGACGTTATTGTTGAGGACATGGCTTGCTCCGGTTTGATGCGCGTCAAGGTCAAGCTGCAGATTCCCTTCCCCCACATCCAACGTGTTGATGTCTGCTTCTTGAGCAAGCCCGAACTCGACTATGTTTGCAAGCCCCTCGGTGGTGACCACCTTGGATTCGATATCAACTTCATTCCTGGCCTCGAAAACTTCATTAAGGAGCAAATCCACAACAACCTCCAGCCCATGATGTACGACCCCAACGTTTTCCCCATCGAAATCGCCAAGATGCTGGCAGGAAACCCCGTCGACCAGGCCATTGGTGTTGTTGCGGTTACGCTGCACGGTGCTCAGCAACTGAAGAACCCCGACGCCTTCTCCGGTACCCCCGACCCATATGCCGTCGTCTCGTTGAACAACCGCAAGGAATTGGGTCGCACCAAGACCGTCCGCGATACCGACAGTCCGCGCTGGAACGAGACTATCTACGTCATTATCACTTCTTTCACTGATGCCCTCACCATTACTCCCTACGATTGGAACGAGTTTCGCAAGGACAAGGAACTTGGTACTGCCTCCTTTGGATTGGATAAGCTTGAGCAAGAGCCCATGCACGAAGGTATCTACCTGGAGGTTACGGCCAGCGGTCGCCACCGGGGTGCTGTTCAGGCTGATATCCGATTTTTCCCCGTTTTGGAGGGTCGCAAGCTCGAGTCCGGAGAGACGGAGCCTCCCCCAGAGGTGAACACTGGTATTGCTCAGTTTACCGTTGAGCAGGCCAAGGATCTTGATGGTAGCAAGAGTCTAGTCGGCAAGCTGAACCCCTACGGTGTGCTGCTTCTGAACGGAAAGGAAATTCACATCACCAAGAAGCTGAAGCGAACCAACAACCCTATCTTCCAGGACGCTGCGAAGGAGTTCCTCGTTACTGATCGCAAGACCGCTCGCCTGGGTCTTATCATCAAGGATGACCGCGATCTCATGGCAGACCCTATCATTGGCCGCTACCAGATCAAGATGAACGACATGATCAAGATGATGGAGCAGGGCAAGGATTGGTTCCACCTGCACGGTGCTAATGGCGGACGTGTCAAGCTGCAACTGCAGTGGAAGCCCGTTGCCCTCGGCGCCGTTGCGGGAGGTGCTGGATACGTCGATCCCATTGGTGTTATGCGTTTCCACTTCAAGAATGCCACCGATCTTCGCAATCTGGAGGCCATGGGCAAGTCGGATCCCTACGCTCGTATTTTGCTTTCGGGTATCACCCGTGGTCGCACTGTGACCTTCCGCAACAACCTGAACCCCAACTGGGACGAGGTTGTGTACGTTCCCATCCGCAGTCCTCGCGAGAAGCTCTCGATTGAGGTCATGGACGAGGAGACCATCAACAAGGACCGCAGTCTTGGCTGGGCAGAGCTCAAGGCCTCCGACTTTGTTCGCGAGACTGAGACTGCGGGCGAGTATGAGATTGACGACGAGAAGCAGCTCATCAACAGCGGCCTGCGTATTGGCAAGGGTGCTGTGAAGGGCCACATCAACTACACTGTCTCTTTCTTCCCTGCCGTGCCCGTCGTCAACCCCGAAGATGAGGTTGAGGAGGAAGCCGCAGAGGGTGAGGACGTTGCTAACCTCGATACCCCCGGTACGCCGATCCGCAAAAGCATGCACTCGAAGTCTGCAAGCGTGGACTCCAAGGCTTCCAAGTCCAACGGGGCTGCAACCAACGGTGCCGCAACCAATGGTGAAGCGACTGCCAACGGCCGTCCCAGTATTGAGACAAACAACTCTCGACCCGCCACAACTACATCGGAGACCGCGTCCGTCCGTTCGATCAAGACCATCCCCAAGACTTATATTGCCGCGGAAGATCTTGCCACCTACGAGTCCGGTTTTATTGTCTTCAAGTTCCACGAGGGCAAGCTTGCGCATTCCAATGTGCAGCTGGAAGTTGTTATGGATGACTATATGTTCCCTGCCTATGTCTCTCCTAAGATCCACTCCAATACCCTCACTTCCTCGGACATCGGCGAGGCTTTCGTTCGTGAGCTCGAGTTCTCGAAGATTACCCTGCGCCTAGTCAACAAGGACGACCCGAAGGATTCAAGCGAGGAGCACACTGTTGCTAAGTTGACCGGTGATACTCTTCCCACCCTTCAGCGCATCCTGGTAAGTTTCTCCATTCAACAACACTTGTATCGCCATCTGCCGATCCTCATGCTAATTTCCACCAGTACAACCCCACCGAGCTTGTTCTTCCCGCTACAAATGGCGAGTCCAGCAAGATCACTGTTAGCGCCCGGTATATCCCTGTTCAGATGAAGCTTGACCCCAAGGAGAGTATCAACAACATGGGAACCCTTCGCGTCAAGGTTATGGATGCCGCGGACCTTCCCTCAGCCGACCGCAACGGCTTCAGTGATCCGTACTGCAAGTTCCGTATTGGCGATGACGGCGAGGTTGTTTACAAGACCAAGGTCCAGAAGAAGACCCTCCACCCCGCCTGGAACGAATACTTCGAGACCCCAATCAAGAGCCGCATCGGCGCCGACTTCCACGTGGACGTGTACGACTGGGACTTTGGTGACAAGGCTGATTTCCTCGGTGCTGCACCCATTGATCTCGAAAGCCTGACCCCCTTCGAGCCAGCTGACGTGCACCTTCCCCTGAACGGCAAATCCGGCGCCATCCACCTTAACCTTCTCTTCAAGCCAAGCTACGTCGTGCGCTCCCGCCAAGGCTCCTCCACCTTCTCCGGTACCTTCGCTGTCCCGGCAAGATCGTCGGCGCCCCCGTCAAGGGCGTAGGCTTCGTCGGCGGCAACGTTGTCCGTGGTGCATCTTTCCTGAAACACGGCCTCATGTCCCGAATCAGCCACAAAGACAAAGGTGACGACGACGCCTCAATCATAAACAGCAACATCGACGAAGACGAAACCCCCACCGAGCGCGGCCTCAGCCCCGCCGCCGCCCTCACAGACAATCAAGCCAACGGCACCCACTCGCCGACCCCCTCAACGCCCCAAAAAGAACACAGCCGCAACCGCAGCACAGCATCCGCCTTCGGCGACCGTCTCAGCATCATCGGCGCCAGTGGTGCTGGCGCCGACACAGGCACTGCAAACATCACAGTCGCCAACGCAACAGGCTTCCCGGGCAACGCCCACGTCCGCGTAATTATCAAAGCGCAAATCGGCAAAGGCAGCAAGGAATTCAAGACCAAGGCCGTGAAGACGTCCTCCGGTATCATCCAGTACCAGGAGACCTTCAAAATCACCCACACAACCGCCGACACGCAGTACCAAATTCGGGTCGTGGACCACGCGACTTTCGGCTCGGACACTGTCCTTGGCGACGCGCCTTATTTCGTGGCTAATCAGGGCTCTGAGGAGAATGTTGAGAAGGCATTCCCAGTTGGTGAGGGGACTGTTACGCTTCGGTCGAATTTTGTCTCTGCTGAGGCTGGCGCGGCGAGTTTGAGGCCTACGACTAGTCATTCGACTACTGGGGCTGGGTTGGAGGATGGGTCTGAGAGTCCCGATTCGAGGAAGTTGCCCCGGAGGAGCTTTTTGAGTAAACGTCAGCCTAGTACTGGTGGGCAGTGAGGTGAGAAGATGTGATTTGATGATATGTGTGGTGGTTGGAGATGGGTTTGGCGGGGAAATTACCTTCATACATGACACTTGGGTAATTTCCTTGGATTGAATTGGCTGGTTGGATGGGTTGGATGGGTTGGATGGGTTGGATGGGTTGGACGAGTATTGTGATATCCTTATTTTTCATTTGCTTTTCTCTTGTGTAAAGGCTTTGAGTTGCTTTGTTTTCTGTCTTCCGGTTAGCGTTGTTAATGGATTTCCTTTTTATTGCATTGCTTTTGGGCATATCTCGTAGACTTTATACCTCTTGTGTCTTTTGTTTTGATTTGTGACATAGGTACTATATCACTTACTAGTAGACATGACTTATAGTAGAAGGCTTAACTTTTACAACTACCAGATTATCTCAGATTCTGTCCAAGTCCCGGGACCCGTGGTTGGCATTGAAGGGAAATCTACTGGCCATTGGTGGCAGGAATGGTCAGGTTTCCTTCACTTCAATCCCCACATTCGGCGATGAAAATACTTGTTAGAATTTCAATGACCAAAGGTACAATTGACCCTATTCTGGCCTTTAGTAAAGCACTGGCATGATCCTGATCGGTACTATGTGGATAGCTTGAAACAGTACTGCGGCAGTTCGTGCGAGTGGACTAAGGCGGTGGTCGTCTTTCCTTTCGTTATTCTTTTGGTTATTCCATTGGGCGCGATTTAAGTGAAGTTACCGAGGAGCCTCTAGTAGACATACTACATCCAATCTCCAGGTTTAATATTTTCTATACCTACCTAGAGTGGTAGGTGCCCATCCTTCTTCGAACTTTAATCAACTCTTGAACGCATAGAATTGATTTCTATATTCATGAACCTATAGCAACCTCTTCGGGCGCTGCCCCCTCCTCTTCCGAATAAAGGTCACAGTCCAAGGAATAAACGCATTGAACTGGCATCGCATCCTTCCCAGCGCTCCAGCTTTGGCAACTGCTTAGCATAGGGCAAGAACCACACATCGTTGACCTTGGGGGGGACGGTTGTTAACACCATTCCGATTTCGAAAAATTTCTTCATGTACAAGTTTGATCCCCTCCAACGACTCGCGATGCAGCAGCAGTGTGTCCATAAATTCTTGCATGGTTTTATTATTGGCATCTACCAAATGCATCTCGTGGTATTGGTAATCCTCCGCATGCGAGATACCAAGATACTGCAATGCGCGCGGAGCACGCAACGCCGATGCCAAAGCGCCGAAGCTGACAAAGGATCTTTCGATTCGCAGAGACTTGAGCTCTGTTGTCCTTTCGAATTCAGCATCGACTTCGATATCCTCATGAAATAGCTGGAAACCTCGTAACGTCAGATGATGGAGTTGCGGGATGACGAAAGCATAGGAGTAATTAAGAGCCGCTCCCTGGCCATTCATTTCTATCCGATCCATTGTGACTATATTTGGGCCAATCGTTATTAGCTTTCTTTGTTTGGGGATTTCCGTAGATTCCTTTCAATAGTATCAGGCAGACGTACGTGACCGCAGGTTCAGGGACACCCTGCTACCGATGGGTTCTTCCAATGATGCCCTTTGGAGATAATTCCACAGAGCCTTTTCAAGAGTGTCCCATTTTTCTCCATTTGGTTTGGAGCCATTATCATCAGTGTCCCACATCCAGTAGCCCCCGGTCAATGCGAGGCTCTGGAGGTTTGGGAGTCTATCGAGACACGGAACAATACGACATGGGGAAATGCTGGTTTGTGTTCCTCGCAGCGTCGGTCCATGCGTATTATTAGTCACCACTTTGACATCATGGACGAAGTTCGCATATCGCTCATTCTCGGAAATCGTGCGCACAAACTCGTCGACCTGGCCTTTTTGGAGATATGCGGAGCCGTAGAGGTATGGGGTTGTTATGGTGTGCAGCGAACGGCATGTCCGTGCGAGTGCGGAACGCGAAGGAAAATCAATATGCTTTATGACAAGATGAAGGAGTTCATTGGGAAAACTGGAGAGCGGTGATTTCGCCATTATGATTTCAGGTACTTTTTTGTGAGTTGCGGCCCGGGGATGGAGTCATCGTTATAAATTGGTTGAGAAATGGGCCTAAAGAATCGGCTACGATCTGGCCCCCACATCTGAATGCATACTAACTGTATGAGGGTTGGTGGATACCCCGAATTTACTAATATTCGTGAAATTTGCTAGGCAGCTCCGGGGGGCTAGGCAGATAAACCTTCCAAGATTGGAGTTAGATAGAATCTACTACTAGTAGTACGTTGTGGATGTTAAGATGCATTCTCTTATCGCATACGGGTAGCCTTAACTTTCATTAAAAGGGTGGAATAAAAGCCGAAAAGACAAAATCGCCCGGATCTCGGACTCGAAAATTCTCAATGATTCAAGTGTTTAAAGCTTAGCTAGTAGTTGGTAGGTAGAGTCTACTACTGATTAGCGCCCGAGAGAACGTCCATGAATATACCCAGGTCACGGTATCACCTGGGCAGGGTGAAATTTAAAGCTACAACTTCAAATTGAAACCGTGGACCTTGAAACAGTAGTACTAGTAGTAGATACTAGGTACCTAAGTAGTTAACGCCCGGGCGGTTTTGGTACCTAGTAGGTATCTCTCCGAAGTCTCCAGGGCTGCCAGTGCGAGAATCCACATCCCGAGGTCCACACTAGATTCAAGTTTCCCTTAAACCTGACTGCACTGTGGACCATTCATGATGCCAAAACTCTTGCAAATCGCCCTGGATTCTATCTGAGATAACAAATCCTTTGCGACGGATTTGATAAAGGATATCTAGTATTTTCCCCTGCAGGGTACTGGATATAACGTGTGTTCCGGCCATCCGCAATGGGAACAACAACAAAACGCCGGGGATTTGTGTTTTCGTCAAAAGTATTTGTGCCTGCGACAGAATCATGGCCACCTGCTCATCAATCTCGCATTGATCAATTTGAGGAATCCTGCGCATTTCCCAGCACGAATAGAAAGTGAAATTCCGACAATGGTATAGAAGCAACGCGCCACGGATGATGACTGCCAAGCGTGTATAAGGGTCTGTCGGTGTTTCCTCTGAGCTGTTGATCACTTCGCAGTTGAGTATAGCTTCTCTTATGTCGACTCCTTCTTGTGCGAGACAGTCCAAGCCAGGGTCAAGGCATCTAAAATATTCGGGGGTGTCCTCGAGTTTTGTGAAGAGCCTGGAGATGTTAGTGGTGTCTAAAATCTGGTTAGAGTTGGCTCACCTTCGAGCAAATGTGGCAGCTTGTACCATTAGTATAATCATATATTTCATCGCAGTTGGCGATTCATCCCGTGATAGGTATTCTCCCGGAGAAACCAGGGTATTATCTCCGTAAATGATTAATCTGTTGGCTTCAAGAAGCCAGAAAACATTAACCAGGGCCTTTGTGGGCGTTGAAAGCAGATCCTTTGGTTGTATTAGAAGAATCATTCTCGATAGGCCATAGGTCATATGTGTTGCGAATGAATCACCGGAATTTTCAGCGATCAGCTATGGAAATTCTTAGCATAGGTGGTCGATATAGTGAGCATGAATGAATACTACTAGTACTACTATTCACATACTTCGAAAAGTCCATGGAGAAATGTACTCCAAAATAAATCTTCTCTGAAGACTGAGTTCGTCGTTGAAATTTCCGCATCAAGACTTTTTAATGACATGCCACACCTTTTAAATGCAATATGTCGAGGCGATTCGGTCCCACTGAATGATTTGATAGACCCCTTTCTACTGGAATCCAAAGCGCCGATTGCGACTGCGATATTCGAAAGTAGTGAATAGCGACTGATCATTGCCATCATGTCATCTGTACTGGCAGAAAATTCTTTGCCAAAATCACATTGCTGAAGGAAATATGCGAAATGGTCCATGTATATGTCGTCATCACGTCTTCGTACTTGCATAGGAGGCGCAGAAAGTAAACCGTGCGTAGGGGCATGGATAAATCGAATCGACGCCTGCTGGACTTTTTGCGGCTCGCAGGAAGTTTGTGTCCTAATGCATCTTTGACATGACGGCCCCCCCTCGCACTACTCATGAATAAGCAAGCTGGTTCTTTAAGCGGAATGAGAAATGTTTGAACCTTTACCCGAAGCTTAGCACACGACCGACAGCGCCTTGTGCTTCTACGTTTGTCGAGAGGCCCGATGGCACGATTCTTCGCTTTGGTCGGCGCCACGTACGGAGGTTCTGTCATCATTGGATTTCTAGAAATATGCAAAAGGATGAAGACAAATCTCAGGGTTGGGACGGTTTCTAATCATGTGACACTATTCCTTGGCCGGGCTCCAACATTGGCCAGCACAGCCACTTGGAATTGTGGATCCACCTGGTGAGTATACTGTGGAGCTTAAAGAAAACATGGCTTGATGTAAATGCAGAAATATTATGCATTAAGGGTATTTAATTTGAGGGGAATAAGAACCTTGGAAATAGGTGAAAATAGTGGAAGTTTTCTGTCAAAACCTTGGAGCTTCGAGTTCAATTTCAAGTTCGAATCGACCTTTCATTTTTATCAAGCATTTATTGAGAGTGTTTGAAGTTGTACTCAGAGTCTTCTATTTGATTTTATGGCATGAAGTAAATTCCTGACAACGCCCGGAGGTGGTGGTTCGGATCACTTCAAGCTTTCAGCAAAGAACTTTACTACTACCACACAAGATTTGACCCAATGGTGCGATCAGATTTAAGGAACATTCAAGTTCCCCGGGATACCTCCGGGGCTAGACCTGAATGTTGAAGTATTCTGTAATGACCCTAGTACGGAGTCCTGGAGAAAAATAGTCGTACCCAACCATGATGTTGCAGCTGTTCACATAGACTGTGACAGGGATTGCCCCCTGGTACATAATGTTCCACTAATGGCGTAAAATATCAGCTTCATATATATATTGGTTTTTAATAAACGAATTCCGGGTTTTGAATTACTCACCGTTGCCACGGGTCCATCATTGAGTTGCCGATCAACCAGCCCGCCAAAAACAGCGTCATTTTCGATGAGAAGACTTTCAGGAAATAGAGGAAAATTCGAGTTCACGAATTCCCTCCACACGGTTGACTTTCCGAGCTTATCGTAACTGGTAAGCGTGTTGTCCACGAGACCTTCTTTCGTAGAATTGGCGTAGTTAAAGACGGACGATGCCAAGGTGCCATTGAAAGCTTCATCAACACGGACAATAAGCTGCGATGGAGAATTTTCGATGAAGCCAGTCGTAATGTGCGACATATTCTGATTCCTGGGGTTCCATTAGCAAGATAGAGCGAATATCACTTCTTGCGACTTACCATTTGTGTTGGATAAAGCTTGTCCCATATTCCGCTTTGATCAAGGGTGGATCTGGCTGTTTGAACCCGGAAGAGAATTCGATCACCGAGGAAGGAAACGGAGAGCAATTTGAAGCTTCTACTTCCAATATGCAAGCGGCAAATAGGGCGTAAGTTAGACAAAGGAGACGCATGATGGGCGTGGGAGTGATAGATGATAAACGTAGATAGTTTAGGAAGAAAATGTCTTACTGGGATTGATGGTTCAAGATGGCTATGACGCTGGGAATTTATAGTTTCTTGTGAAGGAGACAGGAGCTTCTGCAAGGCCGATCGAGTCTTCAGACCGAGCTTGCAACGCTCAATAGCTACCGGTTCTGGACACCAAGGCTAGGCAGCAAAGCGGAGTAGTGGTTGCGAACGAAGCTATAAGATTGTTGATCCGATATAATTGATTTAAGGCCATGCCTAGGTGGTTTCGCTATTTTATTGCTTGATTGGGCCACAGCGAGACCGGAAATATAAGTTGCAATTCTGGTTCATTGACCTCATAACTGCATCAACAATCATTGTTACCCGTGGCCAAGGATGCCATAAGAAAAATTATTCTTGCATCTTTTGCGTTCACGGGTGATCTAACAAAGTACCCGAGCTTCATGGAAATCTAGCTCTGCTCCCTCTGGCATCTGCAAATAAAATTTACTCGTAAGAACTAATTGCAGGCACAAGTACGGAGTAGGGATGCCGAACGGCTTCTCTGAGATGGGGCTTTTGTGGGTTGAGTTTACGCTTGGCCGTTTCGGGTAATATTCGAGCGTGTCCCGCTCAATGTTCGGGTTCGAAGAGAAAATGTTTTTTTTTTTCATAATTAGGCTGCGTAATATCGATTCTAGTTTCACATATTTCAGAATGCCCTTGCTTTCGGGCCTATTCTATCTTAAAATTCCGAATTAATAATACGTGTAGGACATGGTAGCCACGCTATTGCTGTGCAGCCGCATTGTCTCTAGCGCCATTTAGCGAGTGAAGTATAGAGAAAGACGTGATTTATATATTGAAATATACTTCCAGGCCAGCGTTGACTATATCGGCGGCTAAGAGAGAAAGTAGCGGCCAAAGGCCCTAGCTTGGGAAATTCCAGATAGTGGATTCTTGGAGATGAGTGAGACTTCGCGATTAGAAATTGGATTTGGGGCAGGATGTTGAGTCTTTTTATAAATTATTCGAACAAAGAAAGGAGATTATCGTCATGGCAGCAGAGAGCTTCCAAATTTCAATTACGTGCGAGTATCCTTTGAAGAATGATGTTGAATGGATACCTCGGGTATCTGAGCCAAGTCTGGATAAAGAAACATGGCTGTGTTATTTTGAAAAAGAGAGTGAGATTTTCCTTGAGCTGGGATCGTCTGACACTAGGATAAAAAGGGATAGGCTAGAATGAGCAAGATAGACAAGAGGTCATAAATCGACGGCTTCCAAGGTTGTGGATTTAAAACCGCCTTCGAAGAATGAAACAAGAAATTCTTTCTTGACTGAGTTCACAAGAAAATTTCTCTCTATTTCTAGTCGAGTAAATTCGGGTTTCAAGGTTCTCGGCAGGACTACCCTCGAGTGAACTTTTGGATCGAAAATCCACTTCCTCCATGGCCAAATATTAGACCCGATCTCACCAGTCAATTCTTCTAGGGTTCCTTCAGGGAGGAGTCGTTGAAATGCCACGGTAGGGCCAGGATCGAAGTGAATCAAAATAGACCAGAGTCTCATTTCGGTTCATGGACCATCTGATCCACGTAGAGGTAGATAGTGTGATTTGTTAGATGATCAAATCCATGCCTTTGAAGACAGTGCCCCACGGTGGTCAGTAAGTATAGCTATCTGGGTGCTTGACCCTCAGCGGACTTGATCGATTTTTTTACTTGCAAGGTTATATGATTTATTCTGACCCATGGACTGCGATCCAATGTTGATGCTTGAGGTAATCTGAACTAGATTAGGCGGTCGAAACTTGAATCAAACAAAACATAACTCTCTCCTGAGTATGGAAGAGCGACCATTAGATTGACACCCCAATAACACAAGCTTTACTCCCCTCTCTCCCTCGCAAGCTTTGCCCGATGCGAAATCTTCGCGAAAAGAGGCGCCATCCCCGCATGGTTACACTCCGGCTGTTGGAAACTATCCTCCGAAAGATACGACACACCCGACCCATCTCGTTTCTCAAAGCTGAAGCCAGGGGCTTGTTTATAACACGAGTACTGAGCATCGGCACCGCGAAGGGCACAAATCTCGTTACTGATGCAATCACCAGTACAATCCGGCACATTAAACCCGCGAGTCCGTCTACTCCAAAAGTCTTGGAAAACGGTAGTATCCTTCTCCATAGCCACGGTGACATTATGCCAAAACCCCGGCGTGAGCTCGACTTGGGGGTCTTTGACGGCTGGGGAGAGCTTTGATCCGTAGTCTGCCTTGGCAGAGTAGTAGGGCTTCCACTCGGGTTCCGTCTGGAGGGAGGGATCAGTGATGTTGGCAATATACTGCGTAAAATCCATAACGCCGAAGGTAACAGGGTCGATCTCGTAGACCCGGAATGAAGGAGGGCCAGAGGTAGGTGTCATTGAAGGCGCGACGTAGCCCATTGCGGTCGCCGTGTCCCAATTTCGATTCTTGTAATTCGAGTACGAGATCTGAAACTCATCTGTGTGGGTGTGACCAAAGAAGAGCGCGGCAATAGTCGCATCGTACCGTTGAATAATCTGGTCGAAGTAATGAGAGTGGTCGCGGAAATGGTCCGAGTTGCCAGTTGGAATGTGCGAGATAAGCCAAACGCGCTGCTTCGCGTCTTCGGCTTCTTGCAGTTGTGCAATCAGCCAGTCCAGCTGGTTGTTTGGGTCGAACTCCATTGGCTCGGTATAAGAGAAGAAATTGTACTTGTAGTAGAAGATGCTGTTGTAGGAGATAATTCGCAGTTTGCTTCCGGGGTGCACGGCAGAGTAAGAGCCATATTCCCTGGCCTTTTCAACGGAAGGAATGCCAGTTAAGGTGAGCCAATCTTCTGCGAGAGCATCGTAGGCCCATTGCGGATTATACTGGCTTGGAACCTTGTCGGATGGGAATAGGTTCAGAGGGGCAGCGTCATGGTTACCCAGAGCGGCATATACCAGCCCTAGATTGTTCTCCATGGAGCCGTAGGTCGCGTTCAAGTCTTGCAGTACTTCCGTTTTATTGACGAGCCAGACGTCGTGGGCCACTACATCTCCAGTGTATATCGAGAAGGCTGGATCAATACCTGCAATGGCGCCCATCATGCTCTCTTGTAGGCGATGCGGTGGGTCACACTTGGAGTTTCCCCAGGGTCCGCATGGCGAAGTGGTGTTTCCCGGGGCGTCCTTCTCGGTATATGCACGGCAGCAGATTGGTTTTGAGCACTCATAGTTGGATCCCTCTTCGTAGGAGAGGTCGACGTGAGTATCACTAAAGTGCACAACCTTTATCGGAGCTTTACCACTTGGTGGGGGCCGGGTGGTTGGTGGCTTTGGCGAAGGAAAGGAGATATCGTACGGACGGACTTTGGGAAACTCGCATAGACCGACCAAGGTGGCGCAGAATGTTTTGGCCGTATGGGAGCCCAGTTTAAGGTTCTTCAACGAGTAATATACAGAGGGGCCTTCATTCGCAATGACGCCAGCGCACACATCGCTGTCTTCGGCCTATCTTGTATCAATTTACTGATCCAGTAGATAAACAGAAGATAAAACTTACACCACTGACGGAGCAGACACCGGTAATAACATCCTCCATGAAGGATTCCCCAAGGCCGGAGACAAGCTTGAGACCACCGAGGAGAGCCTATATGAGCAGATCATCGTTAGTTCAGCAGAATAGTTGTCGAGTCGTATCATTGGTCACTCTACCTGACAGCTGAAGCAGTCTACCGCATTCTTGAAGTCATCCCATATGGTGGTGATCCAGTCATCGGCAGACTTCTGCGGGGCAGCTATAGTCGCTACTGGCGCGAGAGCGACCAGCAAAACAGACAACTTCATTCTTGCTAGAGAAGTGGCACGTCTCCGCTTGACCGAGTTGATCGGGTGAAGAGATCTCCTAAATAGAAACTGGCGACGCTCAAGCCGAAAACCCACTGGACTCGGACAAAGAGCTTTGGCTGGGCATGCCGTAGCTTATATCCCCCTTCGCAGTTCGGGAGAGCCCAAGCCCGATATTAACCAAGATAGCTAAGCGATGCTACAGTTCGCTTGGCTATAGAATGTTCCTGCATAATAGGGAGAAGTGACAGGTTCATCTGATCCAGCGGCAGGTAGAGCTCTTGAAAGCGGGTATGAGTTGACAAGCTGAGACCTGTAATAGGCTCGGGCATGTCGATCAAAAGGAAGGGATTGTCGAGTGAGGAAAATAATAATAGAGCCACTGAGATCTAAGTGGTGAATGATGAAGGCCCCAAGAGGAGCACTCGCGACGGCATACTCGAACCGGCGAATAAGACCTGCAGCCAAGCAACTAGCGAGAACGTGCCTGCAACGCTGGAAATGTGGCAGCACCCCAGCTCGGAGACCGAATATCTGCCGTCGGGGATCGCATCTTGCAGAAGTCTTGGCTGTAGGATTGAAGCGGATTTTCACATGGAAGCCAACCCACCATCAAATCCACGGGGCTCGGAATTAGTCAGAGTTTGCTCGATGGGTGTGTTGATACGGATTCCCCAGAAAATACAACTTTTTTTGCGTCTCACACGCCCTATCTCCTTGGAAGCCTCACACATATGATCTTGCTGGGTTGGGAGATGCTGAGCATGTTGACAGAGTACCAAGCCCCTGGGCTGCAAGTAGAGATGTTGATTGAAGGGTCGAACTGGACGGGGCGAATCTCACAGTGCTCCTGCTCCCCCGTATAACGGCGCATTTGCTCTGGGAGATTCAGGTTTGAGTTTAGGTTTGGGATTTGAATAACTTGTTACTTGGCGCGAATGGGTCGGTTGATCGAGCAGCAACGAACCTTCGCTTTTCTTCGGCTAGAGAAATATGGAATTCTCCCATCAAGCTCCCACCCCAAAGCCACAATAACTGGTAGCGTGAGTCATTTTTCGCTCGACTCAAGTGCGCACACGAAAATAACTGGAGAGCTCTTGAACCGCTCGTATTGGAGCAATCGAGTGAAAGCTTCCTGGAGGCCGGAACCGTCTTCGCGCGGCGAGAGCAGGATATCAGATGGAGCGGCGGGGGAGTACGTCTGATAGTAGCTATACTTTATGGCACCATTCCAAAGTTCTAATCAACTCCAGGGTTGGATTAACTGAAAGGCATGGGGCTGAGGGGTGACGGTGGGTCGCAAACGAAGGGGGCGAGGCGGCCGAGGCAAGGACCATCCATGGGTAGTAGCTGGGCATGATAGTTAGGTATGGAATTCAAACAAAATATCTCAACAATTTGAAGAACTTCTTTCAATTCCAATCTTTGCGTAGTAGTCAGGATCAATCTGTAAGATCAATTATTCTCTTCTCAAGTACGAGTCAGTATATTAATCAAGTGTTCGATATTGCCGAGGGCTACTGGTAAATTCCAATTTTGTAATATCAAAAATCGCAGTGTATTTCTAGCAAACAGTTCTATTCTAATTCTAGTTCATATATATTAAAACAGAATGGGGGCGGGAGCTCAAGCTTGCCAGAGACGCCTGAAGACCACATCAGAACTAGCTAAATTGAGCTTGCTTGAGTTTCAGATGCTGCAGGTACTTTGCGTCAACAGGGGGGGCACTCCAATCTGCTGGCGCCCTGACTTTCGAGTGCGGCGCGAGTGTTGGTTTCATCGAGCGCGAACATCACATGGCCAAGACTCAAATACTCCTTGAAAGTTGACCATTCTAAGCGTTCCTGTTCCGTGATTGCATGCTCAAGCATACGCTCAGTCCAAGTGTCAATGTCGACGAGGGTTCCTGCTTGACCATCCTCGCGGACTTGAGACATCACCGATGGGAGCTGCGCCCATGATAATGGGACAGGGTTGTTGATGTGGAAGCGCTGGATCTCTTGACTGGTGGCTTGGTAAGTGGCTAGTTGAGCAATGGTGTCCATCTGATTATCAATTGGCAGCAGATTGACCGTTGCATCGAGTCCAGGACCGGCAGAGGCAATGTCTGGCACAACACCTGCCCGGATCATGCCGAGAAAGAGGTTGAGCGTGAAGTTCTCCCGAGGAGTGGGGATGGACGAATTCACAGGCGCGGTGTGACCAGAGCAACGGTAGATTGTGGTCGGGAACCCGCGCTGAGATGCGGTCTCAAGAAGTTGTTCACCTACCCAGCGAGTCTTGAAATAGCCCGAAGCGTTGGAAGTAGGCGGCGTGAACGAGCCCAGACTGACCTCATCGTTTGAAACAATTCCTGTCTTGTGTGTCGAAGTCTTCCAGCTCTGCATGTGAATTGCACTCCAGGTCGAGATGTAGTGAAGGGAGGTGCTGGAACCCAAAGCGGCAAGTCGGATCATAGAAGACACACTTTCAACGTTGCATTGGCGGAGATCGGAGTATGTCTGCAGTAGGGATACATGGCCACCGGTATGGAAGATCTGTTGGACCTGTCCAGCAAGCGTGCGGAACGCGCCTTGCTCTAAGCCAAAGTCTGGTTGAACCATGAGCCCAGGAACAGGGTGAACGTGACTCGATAGCCACTCTGGCGTCACGGTGGTGTCTAGGAGCTGGTTCTCCTGGAACAGTTGCAAAATTCCTCCCGAGTCCAAGGAGCGTCCAATACCGAGTACATAGATCGTAGCGTCGGGATTTGCTGTAAGCAATGCCTTCACCAGGAAAATGCCAATGAAAGAGTCGGCACCTAGAACCAAGATACCACTGGGTTTCTGATTCACATTTGCAACTGCCCGAGATGCAGGACGATGTTGGTAATCGTCTGGTAGGTGAATTTCACGGTCCCAATCAATGGCATTGAGATCTCCGGTTGATTTCGTAACATTAGTTTGCGTCGGGTCTGCCCTGGAGTCGAGCAATACCGAAAGCTGCGCAGGACTGGGGTTTTCGAATAATTGCAGAAGTGTAATCTCTTGTTTCAGCTTGCGCTTCAAAATGCCCTGGAGCCGCAGAGCGAGGACACTTTGGCCTCCGAGCTCGAAGAAAGTGTCTGTACTCTTGATTTCCCGGTCGGATCCCAATTTCAGAACTGATCGGAAGACCGCGATGATTGTATCCAGAGTCTGGCTAGAAACAAGGTTGGCACTGGTAACTTCGGGTTTCGCGTTTGTGGCGCCAGGAAACAGCGCCTTGACATTAATACGACCCAGCGCAGCCCGATCGACCTTCCCACTGATCAGACTTGGGAAAGTATCCAAAATTTGATAGGAGCTTGGCAGCATGTAGCTGTTCAGTGACTGGGCTATGGATTTATGAGCAGAATTGATGGACTCCTGATAAAGTTGTTGCTCTTGTCCAGACACTCTGGGAATCAAGAATGCGACTAGCTGGCGATCATCGGTCAGGCCGTTTGGTGACTCAACTTCGCGTGCCAAGACGGCAGCTCGGGCAAGGAAGACCCTGTCTTCCTTGCTGAAGTGATTGTTCAGTTGATTTTCGATCTCGCCGAGGTCAATCCGGTATCCTCGTAATTTGATTTGCTTGTCACCTGCAATTCTTCCAAGATAGTCGACCGTGCCATCCTCAAGATAGCGTGCTTGATCGCCAGTTCGGTACAACTGAGTCCATCTGCGGGCTCGGAACTGACCTTGCAAAAAGGGATTTTTCACAAACGCTTGCTGCGTCTTATTCGGGTGACCAAGATACCCAGGACTCAATTGCCCACCGCCAATGCAGAGTTCACCGCGAACCCCGACAGGAACCGGGCGCAGGCGCGAGTTGACAATATAAAAGGTTGAGTCTGGCAATGCACGGCCAATTGGTACGGATGATTCTGTCTTCAGCGATCGAGGAACGGGATAAGAAGTCACCTGCGAGGTCGCCTCGGAAGGTCCATACTCGTTATAAACTGTGGTTGACAAACCCAGGTCATAGGTCGCCTTGGCTAGACGGGCTGGAAGGGCTTCTCCTGCCAAATTGACCGCTCGGAGCGCAGTGCATTGTCGAAGATAAGAATCACCATGCTCGATCAGGAGTGCAAATTGAGTTGGCGTGAATGAACCCATTGTTACACCAGCGTTGCGCATGAACTGGGTTAGTTCGCCGGGGTCTTTTCGGACTGCGTGAAGCGCCAACGCGAGAGTTGCTCCTGTAGTCAGGGGTGCCCATATTTGAGTGACGGAGATATCGAAGCAAATGGATGTCGCACTGAGAACAACATCTTGGTTGACGAGGCGATGAGATCTCGTATAGTTGTCGAGCATCACTCTTGTGTTCTCGTGGGTGATCACGACGCCCTTAGGCGCTCCGGTACTGCCCTAGAAAGTGTCAGTAATCATATTTGACTTGGAGCATCAACAACAAAGACCACTTACCGATGTATAAGTCACATATGCAGCATAGGGGTCTGGATTTTGCTCCGTCGGGGGCAGATTCTCGTCGGCCAGATCAGATGACTGAAGGGAAATAAAACGCGCTGTCGTCTGTTCTTTGATTCCACCCACCAAGGACTCATAAGGCTGATCAACGAGAACAATCACGCTAGACGAGTCCTGGATCATGTGGACAAGTCTTGACTCAGCGAAATCGGGGTCCAAGGCCACATACGTACCGCTCAGACGTGACACGGCGAGCATAGCTGCTATGGTATGGATGGAAGCACAAGACATGATGCCGACCCGATCACCTGGGGTAATGCCTGAGTTGTGAAGAGTGGCTGCAAGCTTCTCGGCCAAAGTGAGGAGGTCTTTATATGTGATTGATTCTCCACCAGAGGTGGTGATTGCAGTTGAGCCAGGGTGAGCCCGGGCACTTTCCGCGAAAGATCCCCAGAGAGACCGGCCATCATCCACACCAGCACTGATTTCTTCAGTCCAGAAGAGTGCACGGAGTCGAGTCAGCTCCAGATTTCCAACCATCTCGATCTCCTCAATGGGCTGACGATAATCCTGAACCACGCTCGTGAGGAAGGTATTGAAATTTTGGAACATTCGCTCCATGTCCGGCTGTTTGTACAGGAAGGAGTCAAACTCGAGGCGAAGTTTCAATCCACCCTGCTCATCTTCTGTGATCTCGAGCTGCAGCTCAAATGCTGTGGGCATATCCTCAACGCGGACTTCGGGAATATCGAAGTCGACTGTAGGATAGGTCGGTGCTTTGGCGTAGATTTGGTAGTTGACAGCGATTTGACCAAGGGGGAAATGACTGGGGCTCCATCCAATGTTCATAGCCTCGACAATGGCATCAAATGGAGCTTGCGATCGGCCCAGCGCGTCAACCGCCTGCGTCTTGATTTGCGTGACTAGCTCATCGAAGGTCTCGTCACCTGACATCTCGGAACGAAGTGGGACCATATTGACGAAGAATCCAAGGACAGGATCGAGCTCAGGATGAGGTCTTTCACCAGTCACCACCAATAGCGTCAGGTCATTGTCACCAGTGTATCGTTGCAGGAAGGCCCGTAGTGCTGCCGTCACAAAGTGGAATGAAGTGACCTCGAGACGGCTGCAGATGCGCTTCATGCGCTTGAAGAGCTGCTTACTGAGCTCTTCTCGCACAATCGCACGCTCTCGACTGGAGCTAGCAGGTCGATCGTTCTGAGCAAACGGCAACAGTTTGCTAGCGGCAGGAGCACCCGCAAGTGTTTTGCGCCACCACTTCAGTTCGTCTTGAATCTGAGGTAATTGCAGCCTCTCATCGTGCCATAGAGTAAAATCAACATACGACACCTTGGGTTGGGTCACTGTGTTGAGGTTGGCACCACTGGCAATGGCGTTGTACAAGGTGCTGATTTGTTCTGTAATGCAATTAGATTCCTGTGAATGAGCGAAGGAGGAAAGAGGGAAAGCGAAATATACTTACCCATCAGGGAGGCCTTGCTACCGCCATCAATGGCCATATGGTGGATGCTAAGAACCCAAGCATACCGGGATTCTTCAAACTTGACCAAGGCGGAACGGATGAGCTGTCCAATCTCAATGTCAAGAGGCTTCTGGCGAAGAGCAGCTGCAAAAGAGCGAAGAGACTCCGCTGGGTCTGATGTGTTGCTGACATCGGCTTGTTCAATTGGAATCAGGCCATCCTCAACAATCTCTTGCTCTGCGAAATCATCACCTTCGAAGAAAGCTGTTCGCAAACTTTCATTGCGACGGCCAAGTTCTTGCCAAACCCTTTCCAAGATCGACAGTTTTGGTGACCCATCAATGATCAATGAGACTGAAACATTCAGCGAGGCACTGTCTGCGGTTAGGTTGTGCATGAACCAGAGACGGCGCTGGAAGGTCGACATGGGGATCTGATCCGGGCGTGGATCGGCTATGGGGATCACATGCGAAGTTTTAGCCACGGTCGAGGCTTGGGTGTTTTCAGACGAGGCAGCTTGGGTGTCGTTGGCACCGGATCCCTTCAGAGAATCATTCGCCTCGATTAGATCGCATACTTTGGCCACAAGATCACCAGTCGACTTGGAACCCAGGATATCAAACAGAGCAAGGTTGACCCCGACCTCTTTCGAGAACCACTTGCGGAACTCAACGGCCACGAGAGAGTCCATTCCGTATGCAGCCAGTGGCACGCCAGCCTGAACAATTGAGCGGGGAACGGCCAGGGAGCTAGCGATGCGATCAGAAAAGGCATCTAGCAGTACAGGGAACATTTTATCAGACCCCCCGGCCTGTTGCAGTAGCTCAGACAACTGTTGTTCCTCCGAGTTGCCAGAGACTGTCGACTTCTGGCTGCGTCCAGCATACAGGTTGCGGAATAGCGGTTTCTTGGACCAGAAGAGATCGGTCCGACGAGTGTTGATACCGCTGAGAAGTTGATGGCGATCTCCAGTCCATCCATTCAGGGGCCCCTGAGAGAATGGCAGCTGGCCATTGATTGCTTCTTCAATTTGAAAGAAAAGTTCCTCCTCCGTGAGGACATCCATGCCAATGCGATCAATGATAGCCCGCAGATGCGCATCCTCCGCGATGGCACCAGCATCGGCAACTACTCCGACATTCATTGCAAAGCCTGGCAAGCCTTGTGCAAGGCGCCACCGGACAAAAGCATCGAGATAAGCATTTGACGCGGAGTAGTTGGCTTCTGCCATGAACCCGATGATGGCGGAGATGGACGAGAAGCAGATAAAGAAGTCAAGCGGGAGCTCCTTTGTCGCGTGGTGAAGGTTCTCAGCGCCATAAACCTTGGGTCGAATAACTGACGCCCATTGTCCAGCTGTCATCTCGGAAAGAGGGCCGCTCTCTAGAACCATGGCAGCCTGAATAACACCGCGGAGACTATCTCCGATGAGGTGAACACAGTCACGAACATCCTTCTCGGAGGTGACATCCCCGGAGTAAACATTAACAGTTGCTTTGCGATGCTCGAGCCAGTTTACCGTCTCTTTGGCCTCGGCCTTGCGAGCACCCGAGCGAGAAAGGAAGGCAAATTGGCGAGCTCCACGGCGGAACATCCACTGAGACAGGGCACGACCAATACCACCGAGTCCACCCACGATCAGGTAAGTCTTGTTGGATTGGAATAGGGCTTGGCTGTTACTGTAGGTGGGCGGTGCAACTGCTACTTGCTCGCCCGGGCGTTCGAAGAGCACTACCTGGCCATCGCCGGCATTTGAACGTGAGTGTCGGAGAGCTTGGCTGACCTCTCCATATCCAAACGTCGTCACTGGACTGGGTGTAGAAAATGTCTGCTTCTGGAACAGTTCAAAGACACTCTCGACCAATCGAGGACCTAGGGTATCATCTTGGCGACTGGCCGCTGCCAGATCGACTGCAGTATAAGAGAATCCAGGAAGCAGAGCGCCAGCATTCCAAGGGGCGGAGGTGGCAGCAAGGTCGATTATGCGGCCACCAATAGCTAACACGTCCCAGAATTCGTGAGTGAAAGGAGTAGAAGCATCCGTACGAAGAATGACATTGATCTTTGACGCCTTAGAAGTGGGGACAGCAGTCAACGCGCGTGCACCCACCGCCTCTACCAATTGCACCGCGACTTGGGCAAGGCCAGAAGCACCACCGAGGACAAGACATTGCTCGTCTGCTCTCAGGTGAGCGATATCGAGCAACGCGTAGTGCGCAATGAGGAGGTTGTGCCCAAGGGCAACAGCATCGGTGTCACTGATCTCACCCGGGATGGCAAACGCGAGTTTCTCTGGCAAACGGAGAAGCGACCGGTGGGCGCCCCCTTGAGGCGAGTACACGAAAAATGCGATCACCAACACGGATCTTGGAACCATCCACCTGAGCACCGATACGAGTAACGAAACCAACAGCAGTTTCTCCCAAATGGCTGTCATGCAGAGTTCCAGCGACAATTGCTTCATCCCGATCGCTGATGGCTGATGCAGACACTCGAAGTTCAACCTCCTGGTCATCGACTTCATCGGTGATTGAACCATGGCCATCCGTATACACGATAGAGTCTGCTTGTCCTGGGGTGCGGAGAATGTCCAGAGCTAGCACTTTATCTTGGGTAAACGCTTGTTGAGTAGGCTGGCGACCAGGTCCATTCGGCAGCTTGCGGTTGAGCTGGTCGTCAGTGAGCACACGAGGGATGAACAGCCTGTTGTTGCTGACGCGCAGCTCATCTTCTCCCACAGAAGGATCTAGAACATGCACCGCAAAATCGCCAATTGCCTTCGCGTCAGAAGAATCCGACACATCCAGCGTAACGAGATGCAGGTCTTCGTTCTCACTGCGCGCCGCACGAGCAAGACCCGTAAACAAGGCCTGTGCAGGGCGGACGGGCTCTTGGGTGGCACCGCTCAAAAGCCAGACGATCTTGAGAGATTCCGATACAAACAGAGCTCGAACGGCGTCAAACTGGGCCGGGCGCTCGGAAGAAGCATCGTACAATACATCTTCATCCAGATTGACGAGTGAGATGATGCGGGTAGCTTCCTTGGGGATTGCTTCCAAGGTAGTTGTCTGAGTGCCGGGGCTCCGAGCTTTGATGGCAGCGGCAATAGCCAGTGTCTCTGTGGATGGCTTAGAGGAAATAATCAGATGCAGATTTTCCTTGATGGGCTGTTCTCGTTCCGCTGCAACCTTCTGCCACACTGTCCATTGACCAGCAGAGAAAAGCTTTTGCAACCCCTTTTCTGCGAGATCTGTCAAGGTCACCAGGAAACCACCGTCTTTCACGAGAGATAGCGTATCGTCTTTTCTGCGCTCTTCCAGGACCGCAAAATCGAATTGTCCGTTGGTGAAGTCCACATCCTGTCGCAAACCTGGGAAAAGATCATCTAGCTGCTCGTTCAGTGCAGGCAGTACCTCATCCGCAGCAAGAAGTGAAATGCTTTGGATCTGGCGATTCTCAGGAGTTGCAATTTTGGCGAGCACCTTTTGAGTCTGCAACAAGCCCGGGGTGACGTGGAGAAGCTTTGCCGCCGGAAATTGATGAGCGTAAACCTCAAGCAGATCACCGATATCAGAGAAAGACGACTTATTGTCGACAAGACCTTGAAGACTGAACGCCTCTTGCCAATGAATTCGAAAAAACAAATTCCTGTCCTCATCCAGGCTTTTGTCTCCAATTCCCAATCCAGTAACTTCCAACCCCTTCAGCGTGACCAGCTGATTGTTGGAGTCTCTGTCGTGAATGAATATGTCACTTCTGCTGACACGGGGACTGAGACGTTCATTATCTGCCCGGACCCAAAACTCCTGGTCTTCCGTGTTGTGCTTTCGACGAACAAGAGCACCCGACACACGGACCGTGTGAATGGAAGTTGGGATATAGGAATCGTCCAAGGGTCTCTGGAGATGAGTCTCAAGCGCCGCAAAGAGCGTATGGAGGGTGCAGTCGAAGAAACTGGGATGCAAAATACAGTCGTCATCCGGTATCGTCGTCACATTCTTAGGACGGTATACCATTGGCGCAATGGCAAAACCGGGACCGCTCTCGATCGGACCACGCATGAGACGGAAGTTGTCCCCATACTGCAGGCCCACATTATAAAGTCGGTCGTAGAACTTTGAGGGAAGTTGCGAGCGTGTGGTATGTGCCTGAAGATCAGCAAAGGAAGATTCGGATTGCCAGCCTTCACTCTCGGTCTTCGGACCAAGCGCGGGATCTCGGACAATTGCGGAGACTAGTCCTGTGCAATGCTCCGTGGTCTTGCCATCTTCGAATGAGTAGATTGTGAATCGGCTCCAAGAGTGGGTGGACTGGGTCTGCTGTTCTCCACTGAGATCAACAAGGTCAAGCATTGTCTCTGTTCCGGCCTCCGACTCGGTAATAGACAGCGCCGCCTTGATAGTGACATCCCGAATGATGATCTCCTCCACCGCGTTGGACTCCAGATCAGAGGTGATAGCCTCAAGGGCCATGGACAAGTATCCTGCACCGGGAAAGATAATCTTGCCATCAATTGCGTGCTCTGTGAGCCATGGCAGCTCGCTCGGTCGGAGGTATCTCTGCCAACGGCGATGGGTCGCAGGTGTGCCAGGAACTAGGGCTCCCAAAACCCCGTGACGAGTCTTTCGCTGACGATACTCCTGGGCAACTCTGGTCTCGGACCAGTAACTCTGGTGATCCCATGCATAACTAGGCAAATCATCCAAAGCTTTTCCAATCTGGTATTGCTGTGGCTTTCCGAAGGGATCCACAACATGTCCGGCATTCACTGCGGCAAGATCAACGTCATAGCCCAGGGCAAACAGCTGCCCGGCTGTGGCAAGCAGGCTCTCATACGCGTCCACCTTGCGGTCCAGCGAGCCGATATATGGGAGATCAATCCCCAGTCCCTTCATGACCTGCTTAGATGGTCCTCTCAGCGCAGGATGGGGACCAATCTCGACCAGCACGTCAAGAGCGGGCTCTTCGTCTTCGCCGATCAACACACCTGCTAGCGCATCGGAAAACCGCACGACTCCGGTCATGTTGGCAGCCCAATACTCACCGTCCATAGTGCGCGCTCCTGATGGTCTACCTGTGACGCTGGAGAACATTGGGACCTTGCCTACGCGAGGCTGGAAGGTGGGCAACGCAGATAGAGCCTGTCGGAAGCCTGGTGCTAGAGGGAACATGTGATGGGAGTGAAAAGCTTGTTCAACTTGCAGTCTCCTGGCAAAAATGTTCTCTTTGTCAAGAGTGGCTTTCAGTTCGAGAATAGCACTCTCATCTCCAGAAAGAGTGAGACTGGACGAGCTGTTGATGGCTGCCAATGCGATACGACCAGCGTAAGGCTCCAATGCAGTCTTAGCCTCCGATTCCGTCATTGTCACTGCCATCATTGCTCCTGCAGCGGACCCGACTCCCTTTGACATGTAAAGGCCGCGGTAAAATGCGCATGTGATGGCATTCTGGAATGAGAGGATACCAGCTGCATAGGAAGCGCCGACTTCTCCGGAAGAGTGGCCAATGACAGCCGCTGCTTTGATTCCCCAAGAACGGAGCAGATCAACAAGTGCGAGCTGGAGTGCGGTACACAGGGGCTGAGAAAACTGGCTCTCCATGATACGGGACTCCTCGGCTGGCTTGAGAAGCTCATCAACACAGGACCAACGAGGAGCATCCGGGAGACGCTGCAACACTCGATCACATTTCTCCAGTGTTTGGCGGAAGAGCGGGCACTGATTGATCAGCTGTCGACCCATGGCATACCACTGCGCTCCCTGTCCGGTGAAGACAAAGCCAACACGTGGAGGCGAAGAAGCTTTACGCGTCCACGCGGCCACTGGCTTGGGAGAAGCAAGGTCGCTCACCAGACCTGACAGGGTCTGTCCGATAGCAAAGGAGCGGTAGGGATGCAAGGTCCGGCGAACACTGTGGCTATACGCCAGATCAGCCACTGCAGTCTCTGGCCGCTCCTCCACATAGGAAATCACGTTGACGATATGGCGGCGGCCAGCATTCTCCGAGTGTGAGGACAATGGAAGCAGGAATGGGCGGTTCTTCAATTCTTCATCGGGAACAGTGGAGATGATGCCCGGTTGCCTCAATGGCTCATAAGCGTCAAGAATGATATGAGCATTACTGCCACCAAACCCGAAGGAGTTAATACTGGCCCGTCGAGGGCCATTGGTTGCAGGCCAGTCAATCATCTCAGTCACAACCTTGAGCTTCCCGCGCTCAAAATCAATCTGCGGGTTGGGGTTCTTGAACAACAAGTTTGGTGCAATCTTTGCCTTTTGCAGCATCAATGATGTCTTGATTATGCTGGCAATTCCAGATGCTCCCTCCAAATGACCCAGGTTGGTCTTGAGAGAGCCGATATACAAGGGCTTGGAACGTTCTGGGCCAAACACGGACCCAATAGCGTTTGACTCGCGAGGGTCACCAGCTGCAGTACCGGTTCCGTGTGCTTCGAAGTACTGAGTGTCGGCGGTGGACAGACCGGCAGCCTTGTATGTCTCCCGGATCAAGGCGGCCTGCGACTTAGGGTTGGGCATGGTCAACCCCTCCTTGAGTCCGTCATGGTTGATACCGCTTCCGCGAATAATTGCCTTGATTGTATCGCCTCCAGTCTCCGCATCCCGGACGCGCTTGAGAACAACGACACAGACACCTTCGCCACGAACATAACCAGAGCCATCAACGTCGAATGCACGACAGCGGCCATCAGTTGACAACATTCCAAAATCGGTCATCGTGATATACATGTACGGGTCGAAATGAATTGCAGACCCGCATACAATAGCAACATCACTCTCTCCACTTTGCAGACTCTGGTTGGCCAGATGAAGACATGTCAAGGATGATGAGCAGGCCGTGTCTAGCTGGTAGCTAGGTCCATGAAGATTGAAAAAGAATGAAATGCGATTGGCGAGAATAGAGTTCGTCAGACCCGTGATACTATATTTGGGATAGTTCTCGAGGTTTCTCTGGGCCTGGACCGAATAATCATTTGTGAATGAACCGACAAAAACACCGGTCCGAGAGCCACTGAGTTCGTCAAGAGTGATCCCAGCTATGCCCTGTCAGTTCACCTTTCTTACGCACAAGGCATGTTTTTCTCAACTTACCATCTTCGACAGCTTCGTATACGACTTCTAATAGCAACCTCTGCTGCGGGTCCATCGCCTGTGCTTCCTTTCCAGAAATATTGAAGAACTGAGCATCAAATTTGTCGAGTCCTTGGTCCAAGAAATAACCATATCGTGCATTTGTCTGCCGGTTGATATGTTCATCAGTACCAGACTGGGGCCTTTCAGACAGGAATGGGTAACTCACCGTTCCTTTGTTTGTTCCTTGCGGGTGAAAAAATGCGTCTACATTGTAACGATCCTCTGGCATCTTACGCTGGAGATCTTTTCGCTTTTCTAGCACGTCCCAGAGCTCCCGCGCATTGGTAGCACCGGCAACCCGACACGCCATACCCGTGATGGCGGAATGATTCGTCCGAATCCCGGGCCGAAGGTCGTCATCACTGACTTCCGAGATGACAGTCGAGCTATACCTAGATGAAGTCTCTAGGTCATCCGACTCTGTGCCAGATGATGGACTAGAGTAGGTGGCAATAATAGGAGCCATGATTTTATAAAGTCCGGTCTATATTTTTGGTGAATTCCTCTATATCTTTTCAAAATTACTGACGTCCTGCCGTTCTTATATAGCCCCGGGATTCCTCCATCTTGCGTGATTATATCGCTCTCTATCTATAAATTGAACTAAAATCTCATCTGCATCAGAGTCCCCCCACCATGAATATTCATTCTAGAGCTCCGTCGGCCTTAGGCGGCCGTAGATACTTGGAGGATTGTTGCAGTGAAATCCTGAATACGAAATGGATGGAACTATGAAGGGGCCAGGTAGTGGGGCCTGTCAGCATTGTACTATTCCCGACGAATGGCGACTTTTAGTCAAGCCACAATCCAACTTCAATCCCAAGACTCGTAGACTAACCCCGTGTTAACGGTACATCGCGCAATGGCAAAATCCACTCTAACAAGGTCCAAGCTTACGATGAAGCATTTGCTTAGTTGTCGAGTCTTCATTCCCGATTTATCCCACAGCCTACTACTATACGGGTTTGACCCATAACTATGATTCATATGAGTGGGACTCTTTATTTGGTAGAGGATCATCTGGCACCTCGAAGATCTTTGGTGCAAGGGATGCAAAAGTAGCATGGCGTAGTTTAATTTAGATGAAGAATAGGTAACCCTGATAATTGTCGCAACACAACACGTGGTCTTGTTGAAGATGGCATCATGATCCTTTAAGAAGGAAAATGGGCATGCATTGAATCACCGAGTACTCCGTGGCGTCAATATGTCAGTAACGGAAGTAAGTTTGCGCCACGAGCGGTTGAAATCCCTGCAGGTTTTGGCCACTGGATTCCTCATTGAGGTTCATGCCCCGATCACAGAAAACCGAAGACGCATCAGGTAAGTATATTCTCGTGTCGTACTTTGGCGAGGCTGAAGGTTTCAGTGCCAAGATCTGACAGTCTCCACTTATAATGCTGCAATAATGTGCAGAAAATACTATACCTCGGCTAATTGGTTGTTATTTGGCTCTTGCTGTCAACTCAGTGGGTAGAGTCAATCCTCTCGTATGTAGACTGCCTAAAGACGGGGCTTCGGGCTTTTCCGATTCCCGCCGGCCCGTGGTGGAGGGAGGCTCCGGATTTGAATTCCGTGGTTGCACTTGCACCACGTAGAACTTTTCTAATTTACGATCTGTAGGACTCTATTTACTAAGTGGGCCTCTTGTCAACTTTATTGTTTCCAGCGTGTCCCTTTTGTCTTTCCGTTTGCGCTTTCGTACATTTCTTCTCATTGCCTCCCGGTAAGAACTGTTCGGGACATCATACAAGCACGCCTTATGTGAAGGATTGCCGAAGCTCGGGCGAAAGTTTGAAGAAAGTGGTTGATATGGGTCAAACGGTGGAGAAAGCGGTAGGATGCCTAACATTCGTCAGGCGTCTTGGCTGTGGCGGCCAAGCGGCGATCCACAGGTGCTTGGCAAGATCGCTCCCACCGTGCACGACACCTTGAGAGAAAGCATTATTCGTTCTAGACATATTACTCTTCTGAATCTTACCTCAGAATTGATTCCAGCGAGCTGGAGTGAGCTGGGAATAGAATGCACAACGCAGAGTTTTATCACATCCTTGTCGACTCCGTATACTCCGTAGTGCGCACACTTGGCATGTTGCTACTCTATATGCACCAATCAGCGTCGAGCGGGTATTTGCAGCGCCAAAGTACGAAGCGAAAGTCCGCACCTGCATATTCCACCAAGCTTTGCACTCGGTCCTCGCCATTACAAGCTACCGAGCTCGGCATCTCCTTAAAAAGCCTGTGGAAACGCCATGTCTATCATCTCACGAGTTAGCTTCTCGTATAATTGCGTTTGTTGTTGCCAACTCCTACACCCCCCCTTGATCAACCTGTTTCTTGTTGATTTTCTTTCGCCCATAGATCAATCTCAACGATTTCTTACGTGCGATGCCAGCGCCTCAAACAAATTCGACCAGCGAGTCGACTTTGTCTGAAGCTCGTCCAGCTCAGGATATTGAGAAGGTCGATCACACATCACCACCATCGGCAACAAAGGCTGTCACCAATGAACCTCCCGATGGAGGCCGTGATGCTTGGTTGGTCACCTTTGGCAGCTGGTGGGCCCTCTTCATAGCCTTCGGCTGGACGAACTCTCTTGGTGTGTTTCAGAATTATTACGAGAAAGAACTACTGAGCGCTTACTCTGCATCCACAATCGCTTGGATCGCATCCACTCAGATCTTCATGATGTATGGTGGCGGCATTGTCTTGGGCAAGGTGTTCGATCACTACGGACCTCGATGGCTACTGGTTGTCGGCGGGTTTGCCCATGTGTTCGGCCTGATGATGACCTCTATCTCCAAGGAGTATTATCAGATATTCCTGTCGCAAGCTGTTTGCAGTGCTATAGGTGCTAGCGCCATCTACTATGCCTGTCTGGGCTCACTTGCCAGTTGGTTTCGGGCGAAACGCGCAACAGCTTTTGGAATTGCTGCCTCTGGTGCCTCCATTGGTGGTGTTGTTTTCCCTGTGATGGTCGACCGTCTCATCGACCAAGTTGGCTTCGGCTGGACTATGCGCGCGGTCGCCTTCCTCATTCTCGGTGGTCTTGTCATAGTCAATCTTACTGTGAAATCGCGGCTGGCTCACGAACCAAAGCCTATTCATATTCGACAGTATATCAAGCCTTTCACCGAGATCCCGTTTCTACTTCTGGTCATCTCGTTATCGCTTTTTTCGTTTGGACTATTCCTACCATTCAACTTTATTACTGCTCAAGCACAGACGCTCGGCATGTCCCCGGCATTGGCAAATTATCTTGTCGCAATTCTCAATGCAACCAGGTGAGTCATGTAACGAAACCTTTCGAGGCAAAAATCATATGCTAATTACTTTAGTGTTTTCGGTCGTATCATTCCCGGTCTGATCGCCGACCGGGTGGGTCGCTTCAATGTCATGTCTGTGGCAACCCTAGTTTCGGGTATCCTAACCTTCGCACTGTGGCTCCCCGGCCGCTCGAACGTCGCAATTATCCTATATGCCGCATTCTTCGGTTTCTTTTCTGGCGCTTATGTCTCCTTAACACCAGCGCTTATTGCCCAGTTGTCTCCTATCGAGGAGATCGGCATTCGTACAGGAGCGCTATACTTTTTCGTGTCAATTGCTGTGCTTACGGGAAGTCCAATTGCCGGAGCGCTAGTTTCTGTCGACAATGGTAATTATGGATATCTGGAGATTTTTGCAGGAGCCACAATGTGTGGCGGTGCTGTGCTAGTCGTCTTCACTCGTGTTGTGAAAGGCGGATTCAAGTGGGCTGTTTTGTAAAAAAGCATTTCAATGTACTTTAGACATATAGATTTGGTAGGTTCTTTTTAATTCTCGCGGTGATCGAAATTGTTCCAAACTCGCGGTTGCATCCGTGGACAGTCAACAAAAACCTTCCAAAAAAAAGTTCTTACTATGAGCTAGTACTATTCATGTTTCTTATACCTAATCCTTAGACAGCAAGTTATTCCTAAGTCTGTGGAGAGTTTGAACTTCAAATTTTTGAATTTTCAAGTTGCTGCCTCTACTACCTAGGTACTACTAACTACCAGCCTGCCAGGTGAGTAGTAGGTTTGATGGATATATTTCAAATTGTGGAGCCTTACGTACTAGTAACTTGAAAATCCGCTGCGGTCTTTCAAGTTCCAAGGTTTGCAATACTGCCTACTAGTATGAGTACTAACTAGTAGGTACCACCTAGTAATTAACTACATACCTAGGTAGGTAACGTGTTTCACTACCGAGCTGGCTGCTCATGAAACGTAGTCAATGTAACAAATTACAACTTCAAATATCTCAACTTGAACAACTTGAACTACTAATAGTATATTTTATCATCACTTATAATCTAAAAATCTTGGATTTCGTTAAGAATGCCAGTTTAAATACTAGAAATTCAAATGAACTCTTAAAAAGAAGTTGTTGTTGACTTACGAAGGTGTATTTTATCATATTTACTTATGTGTTTCAGGGTTTGGGGCGGCCAACTCGGTAGCGAAACACGTAACCTAGTACTACCTACCATTTACTACTAGTAGTAAATTTGAACGATTTGAAGCTCTGTGAGACATTCCAGACAGCCTTGTAAATTTATCCTATTCCGTTGATTGACAATGAACTCTACGCAAAAATTGAAATAGAATAAAATTGTTGTTCTGAAGTTGACTTTATGCTTTAGCTATGATGTTTAGTGCTGGTGGCTCGCTAGTACACGTTAGTACTAGTATCTATGTCAGGATACAACTAAAAACTCGAACTTGAATAATTGAACTACCTTGATAAATACAGTGAATTGAAGTCGAGTGAATTATAATGATGACGAAAACTCAGAATATCCCATAGATCGGATAGCTGCGCAGAGACAATTTAAGACCTTCCAATTAGTCCGCATTATACTCCGCTTCTGAGAGAAGAGCTCTATTAGCCAAAGCCGATGAAAGAAGTAATAACTCTAATTTTGGTCACACGGGGCCCAAAATCATTGATTCACGATGCGATTGACCGCAATTTTGAGGTGCGGACTTTCGACGTGCAGCTTCGGTCACATCGGCCTCAAAAAAGCGACTTCGTAACAGAGCTGCATACGTAATTTGCCTGACCTCATGCAGCGGGAAAACGTACTATATATCCCGGTCCTTTCCCCGCATCTTGCAAACTTGGAACTCTCAGGCTCGATCCAGGTCTTACTACTCACAACAACTTGAACCTCTAGGGCTTGGAACGTTCCACTACCGACTCGGACGGAGGGCATCGGTATACACACTTGGGCATATACACAATATTGCTGCATACAAACCAAAGTACATTTCTTCATCATCATGCTTCCCCTGAGCACAGATGGTGCATTTGGTTTCGAGATACTTCGCACCCTAGCTCTTTCCCGCTACCGCGGTGCAGATGTTGGCGAAGTCCTGGAAGCAGCTGAGCATATCGAGCCAGGAAACCTCGAAAGCTTCCACGACGCCTTTGACAAGCTCGCTACACGCGTCCTAGCCCAGGCCGATGGAATCAACGCTAAAGCTCATCCTGTTTCGGCACGAGATGCTTATTTTCGAGCTTCATCCTATTTCCGCGCAGCAGACTTCTTCATTCACGGCAATCCAAGCGACCCCCGAATAAACAGTCTCTGGGCCCAGCAGACACTCGCATTCGACAAGGCGATCGAACTCTTACCCTTTCCAGGAGAGCGAGTTATCCTCCCAGCCAGCGGTTTCAACGTCCATGGCATTTTCTTCCGCGCCGATGACAGCTTTCCTAAGCCGCGACCGACTCTGATTCTTGGAAATGGATATGACGGGGCACAAGAGGAGATGCTTCATGTTTCTGGTTTCGCTGCGCTAGAGAGAGGTTATAATGTCATTGTCTATGAGGGACCTGGACAGCCAACGGTGCGCCGAGGGCAGAATGCAGGGTTCATCCATGATTGGGAGAAAGCTGTCACCCCCGTTGTTGACTACCTGTTCCAGCAACCTGAAGTTGACACAGCGCGTATCGGCCTCTTGGGATACTCTCTCGGTGGATACCTTTCTGTTCGAGCTGCGGCATTTGAGCACCGCCTGGCAGCTGTCATCGCCGTGGACGGGCTTTGGGACATTTATAAATCCTTCGCAGAAAACCTCTTGCCGACCGAGTGGATAGCATCATTTGACGCCGGAGATGTACTGAGCTTGAATACTCAGATCAATGAGTTCCGCTCTAAGACTGATACTCCTACCACACTACGTTGGATCATTGATCAAGGATTGTGGTCTTTCAATGTCAATGATGTGAGTGGGTTGCTTGATGGGATCAAGAAAATGACACTGCAGGGGCTCGAGGGCCAAATTAAATGTCCGGTTTATGTTGGTGATGCCGCCGATGATCATTTTTTTCAGGGGCAGCCGGGCTTAGTGAAAGAAAATATCGGAGAAAATGCGACACTTGATACCCTGACCGCTGCGGATGGAGCAGGTCATCATTGCCACGTTGGAGCCGCTGCAATTATGAATCAACGACTGCTGGATTGGTTTCACGATGTGGTTGCGAAATAATTGGGATTCGCCGAGCAGGGTATGAACATGGGGAGTCTTATCTCCCACTCCAAGGCTTCCAACAAATTCTTTGCATTCAAGTTAGTAGTTGATTATATTTCCATTTTCCGATTGAAATAATATTTTGTTCTTCTTTTTATGAGGGGTTTTCTTTAAAAATAAACCGGGAGATCAGCATGCTTATTCCGCCTTTTCCAAACAAGGCTAGCGCAGCTGTAGTTACATTCCCTGAATTGCCCGCAGTCTTTCATGCCACTTTCAAATTCCATTCTCGCGACGAAATATGGATACCGGAAGTCTTTCTTGTCGGCGGTGTCGAAAGTTCAAGGTAATTCCCATATATCTTGCATTGAATGAGTCACTCAGTAACAAATCCAGCGTAAATGCTCCCGCGAATTGCCAACTTGTGATCGATGTCGCCATCTAGGAGTCGAGTGTGCTTACCCTCAAAGAAAAAAACGTGAAGCCCGTGTCGCGGCCTCGCCCAAAGGCGACAATGAAATTCCACTCACGAGTGAATATCAAACCGGGCCCGTTAGGAGCCAATCAAATCTTACAATGGCACTCGCGACAGACACTCAACTAGCCTCGCAAACAAATGGGCTCACCCTGTTAGACGTCTACTTCGCACAGTTTATTCCTTCCAGTATTCTTTCACAACAAGGGCGCACTAAACGCCTCTTTTTAAATGGCGAATTATGTACCGGTGTGTTGCAGGGCATGTTCGCCTTGGCTTCTTTGTTCCTGGGCCGCACGCAAGCGCCCAGCAAGTGGCGTCGACTCGATGACTCGGCAGATGTCTCCCAAATCGCTCCTCATCATGGCCAGGACTGGGCTAATAATGCTGGTCACATTGCGTCCCTCCAATTACATATGCCCTCTGTCGACACTGTTCGAACACTCTCCAATCTCACTACATATTGGTTTGGCATTGGCCAGAGAGAAAGATCACAGGCAGGTGCGAGTAAGTTTATCCCGTCTTCGGGTGATTTTTATACTAGGCTCAAGCTTAAGCGCATATAGATTTAGTTATACAGGCAGCACGAGACTTGCAATTGCAAAGCTTACATCTGCCAAAAACACAATCTCGTGATCTGCGATGGTCTTGTTTCTGGGCAGACGCAATATGTCGATGCTTCGTGCTTGATGATAGTTTTGCCCACTCGAATCAGGATATCGATATATCGGATATTACCCAGCCCTATAACAGCCTCATGCCTGTATCATTGGAAACACAGCCAACTCCTGGGCAGGAAGCGCTATTCAAAGCATTGGGTCTCTGGTATGTCATTTCTGAGTGCTATTTGAAGCTTTCGAACCATACTCAACAACTTCATTAGGCGTGAGGCTAGATCGTTCATTCGGAATCTCAGATTCATCTACAATCTCGCACCCGATGCGGCTCTGACAGGGAGGTGGGCAGCTCTTTTCGCGCTGGATAGTAAAATCATTTGCTGTTATTCATCTTTCCCCGCTACGCTACGAAACTTCTATGGGAGCAGTCTTTGTGAATCGGGAGAGGCCCCAGAACTATTGCTTTCGCTTCACGCGGTATACCACCAATGTCGCGCCCTGCTACATCTCGCCATGTTTATGTTCCTACGAAAAAATACTTCAGCACCCTCCGACTACGTTAATCTATGTGCTCGGGTCTCTATGTCTCACTTAAATTACTTTGCAGATGTCGCCACTAGCTTTATGTCTCTAGCTCCGTCGAACGCCTCGGCAAATCCACCTTTCATTGCATACTGTGCTTTTCTAACAGCGTCGATTCAGCTGGCTTCTTTGAAGCTGTTTCAGGGATCCACCGGAAATATTGCCTATGCTAGCCCATATGCGTTGGATCTGTTAAGAAAACGAGCCTTGTCCAGCCTCCTTGTGCTGCAACACCTCCAATCTTATTGGTCCTCGTGTAAAGAACTGGTATGTAATTTCCCTTACTGAATTACGAACTATAAATAGCTTACCGGTCTGCTCCACAGCTTGACCGTCTCCAACCACTATGCTTCCCTGTCCGAATATCGCCAGACGATATAGAAAGCCATGGCCACAGTCTACAAAACTCACCCGGCCTTTTTCCTTCGACCTCTATCCCTGATGGAACCCCGTTGACCCCATTACCACCACATCAAGAAGAACTTGAGACTATCATGAGTCGTCACCTCACCCAGATTCTGCAGATGGTAGACCTTAGCCATCCGGCCTATTTTTCATTTCAAAACCTGCAATTGTCGAATCCAATGGCGGGGGATCCTTCAGTCCTTGATCTTTCGTCAAATATCTACCTGCAACCGTACTCCACATGCCAACCTGAAGCTGAACCGATTCAAATGTCTTTGATTCCTGAACTGCAACCGATTTCCTACAACGGTTTAGTCACAGAGTCAGAACCTACCTCATATACCCATCATCATAAGCCACGGACCTGGATTCCGGCTCGTCCGGTCCTTCAGGTCGCCGCCGAACCTAGTGGATTCGGTCATGATCATCGGGACTTTGAATAGTAGGTTACCTACTAACACTAGCAAGCGTGAGTGACAGATAAGCGGCACTCAAGGAATTTTCATTGAAGGCCAGGAGGGATGAATGACGGAATGACAGATCAATAGATGAATAACAATGACGATGGAAGAAATGACCTACAGTGGGCACGGCATGATTCGGCAGCCATAGGAGCCTGATCCCTTAGGCCTCCAAGCTGTCATTGTGAGGTCGCTGGAGCGCTGCCTCAAGTCCTTTGTAGGCACCAGTGGTCTCGGCGTCAAAAAGAAATTGTGTTATGTGTGGCAGGTAGCCATCAAGAAGTCAAGCAAAATGTCCAATCTAAATCAAAATGAGCCCGATCACGACTTAGAAGGTCTACCTCCATCTGTAAGACGGTACGTCTACGAAGGACTAGATCGCTTCTCTCAGATCATAACGGTTGAACGAAAGCGCCTACTCAACTCGATTCTAGAATGTCGTGAACACAACAAACTCAATACAGCATGCGACGAAACCTCCAGCGCTGATCCGATCACCCCTGAGGTCACAGAATTTCTCATCTTTTCGATGGACGAGGTTACTTTCCAACGGGATTTCCTGGACCACGATCCGATCCTTGGGTTTTCAATACGACTATCATTCAACCCCGAAACACAATTTCTCATCGTTAAGATGATCACCCCAGAACACGGCCAGATCGGTGTCGCCATCCACGACGCGGTGCACGAGGCTATTGTATCTATGGGGCTCAGAAATGCAATTTTCTCTTATGACGCCGTGGATATTGATGTAAATGGGAGAAAAAAACAGGCAGATGTGGGCTGGGGTCCGAGGAGGCCTCCTCCAGGCTGTCCCAAAAAACGACCCTCGGTGGTCGTTGAAATTGGGGTCTCTGAGACCCAAGGCAAATTACGCCGAGATATCAATCTTTGGCTCGATCCCAATCAGGGGAATGCCAAGGTCGCTTTTGCAGTCAAACTGAATCGCAAGAGAGCAATTATCAGTATTGATAGATGGATGTTGGACCCTGCCACCGGGAGACCGATTCAATCCCAACATATCGAGGTTTCAAAAGACGAGACAGATGAATTCAAACTGATTGGAGGTCCCCTGATCATTCTTTTCCGTCATTTGTTTCTACGAGATCCCCAGACTCCGCAAGAAAAGGACGTGGTCATTGACAGGGAACAGTTGATTGAGATTGCCGAGTTGGGATGGGAGATGCAGTATATGTAGGAGCTCGTGATATTCAAGTTCTCGTGTTACTATTTTTATGTTGATGTTTTCAAATTACCCTACTCTATTTACCGAGAAGACAATGCGTCTATTAAATTCAATTTCATGGTCTGTTCACTGAGTTGAAAGGAATGCCTCCTCTATAGGTAGTTGTAATCGTCAGACCTTCGTTCTCCGAGGGGTTAAGTTCCATATCAAGAAATTGATACTCCTCAATAGATAAAAGTTATAATTTAGCAGAAATACTACTTTCGTTGATTGCCCGCTGCAACTGACCAAGTGCTACCAAATCGCGATCATGCTTCGTCACAATATGGAGCTCATTCTCAAAGCAACCAAGCTCAGCGATCGTGTGGAACTTGTTGCTCATTCCCCTGGCTGAGTATCCGCAAGACTGAATATCCAAATCAAGAAGCCTCGGGCCGGAGCGCCGTGTCACGAATCACATTGGCCATATCACACAGTCCCAGGTTCCATCGTTCAATTGCACATTATGAAGATAAATATGCACGATGGACCCGATTACTCTATCCACGAGCATCCACAGATTCTTTACTGTAACAGAAACACCCTCCAGTGAAAGGGAGCGCAGGCGGAGAGGTTTTGCAGACTTGACATTGTTGATATCCAAGACCTTCGTACTTCTCACCATGATTCGGAGAGTTCTGAGATCCCTTGCACTTTCGAGTATCTTGCATACATGGAACGAATTGCGATGGTAGAACTCAACTGCCCCAAGCAGCGTTACACGGGATTCTGCATCCTTCTTCCTCGTATCGATCGTCAACCTGAGATGCCGAAGACGCTGTATCACACCTGCAATTTCTTCATACAGACAACTTCCAGGCGCAAAGGGCTCAAGGTCCGTTGCATCACCGACTCGAAGTTCAAGCTCTTCGAGATTCGAAAGCGGGACGTAATGCAGTATGGCAACTATCATTTCCATGTACGCTTCGCGCAGATCCTGCTGGAACCAGTGTGGTGGATCGTTGAAGTCAAGGGATCGAAGGTTAGTGAACTTTGCTAGAACGGATGAATTGTTCACAGTAAGGTCGTCGATATACAGCTTACCGGCGGACCCTGATGATAAGTCATCCATGCCGAAATCAGTTTGGTGGACATGTATAGCATATGGGCTTTCTGATAGGGCTTTAAGCCGTTATATATTCGCAGTGATCTCAAAGGAACCGCATCTTGCATCGATGTGGCGGAATAGCCAAGGTGATGCGCTGCGGCAGAAACCAGGGCTTGTTGATAGAACGTAGTGCGGCTAGGTCCTTTCGAAGGTTTCTCGTGGGAATTGCGTAATGCAACACATTGTCTTCACGTTTTGAATTCTCAATGCGTCCATTCCAACTATGACGGACAATATGTGCGAGAAAGATTAGCCGTTGATTAGGAATCTCAACCATAAATTGAGCGTAAAGCTTAGTATCTTATCGCATATCTGTTCGGGAATTTGCATTTTGCGTGCTAAGTTTTGCTGAGGCATGAGCCCCATGGCTGCTGAGTGTAGCTTGTTCCATAGCTTCTTCATGCCACGACCATTTTCAGTCTCTCTGCGAGTATCCTCCATCCTGTGCCTCCAGTAAGTTTTGCGTCTTGAATCTTGAGGGTGATTTGATGAGAGCTGGTATCGTTTGCTGGGGAATGTATCTATGCAGAATGACCTGGTGGATGGTATCCGATTGGCCCGGCTTGTATGAAAGATCCAGTGCTGCGGATACTAACTCATACGTCACCAATACGAATTTATTATCAGCTGATGATATCATGCACAGTGTTTGAGCTTTGAAAGGTACAAAGCTATGAGTACTTCAGATTCGGTTGTCATATACACTAGTGTGTGTACTTGACGAATCGAGTGCCAGAAATAATCAAAGGGCGAAAGGGTGGCGGCTTTTTCAAAGCAGACCGTATAAATGAATTCAGCTCCAGAGGCAAGAATATTCCAGAGGCGACCGAAAAAACAAAAACGCTTTGTGTCTTTTTTTGGTTTCAAGATACCTAGGTAACCATGGATCGAGACTATTTTTTTTTTTTTCAAGACTGAACGTGGCAGTATTCAGCCACTGGTTGTCGAATTCTCAAAGAGTTCTAAGAAAAAGGGCAGAAAAATCCATGTTTGGCAGCATTTGGATTTATTTACAAACGGAAGTATATTCTACTACTAAGTACGGTTATTCAGTTCGACAGGATTGACAATACTTCCAATCTTGGAAGGTTTTTCAGCCCCCTCAATTTGAAGGGGTGGCTAAAAAACGTGTCTACTAGTAATTACTACTAGCTATCTCCAACCTGGGCAGGTAATATATATCGGGGCCTACTACCTAGGTACTATTACAGCAACTTAATGGCTCGGTGGAGGTACTACTAGTAGTAACTTAAAATAAAGTTTTCTTCAACTTGGTTTGAACAGTCCCGAGTTCAAGTTCAAAACAGCTAGCCATTTCGATCACGAATTATACAATTGTTCATGCAGTATAGGAACTAGTACTAAATTGTATTTTTTTTGAGGTTACGAACTTTTAAGGTACCACCTGGACTCGGGACGTGACGGGGCAGACATTCTAGCCTGTCGAGTAATCCATCAAGGACACGGTAAAATGGCCAGAATTTAATGACAATGAGGGTAAGTACGTAGTTTAGTTTAAATTGAAAATACCTAGGTATATGTCGCGAATAAGCGATATTAATAATGGCATGTCGAGCTCCTTTTGGTGGACGTGGACGTGGACGCAGACACGAATGCGGATGTGGATACCCCCTCCAGTCCTTACGGAGACGTTTAAGGGGAAGGGAGAGGGGTGAGAAAGAGTGGATCTTTATTTAGATGCGAACAAGCCAAACTAGCGAATTAATTAATGCATGTGTATCCGATTGACAAAGTGCTCCTTAATCAGGGGTATTGGATTGGATTGAATCGAAACCAATATCCGAATCTGGGTCTGAAACTTTGATATCTCAGTCCTGCTGACTTGACTTCCCCCTTTCAGTTCAGGGTCCGCCAGGACAGGACAGGCCTAGACTTCATCGTGTTGGACTCCGTACTCCATACTCCATACTCCATAGTTAATTAGTCCGCAGACACAGGTGCCAACCCCAACTCCATTGGTCTTCCCCAATTTCCCACATGCCTGCAAAGATGCATCGGACTGGGTCTGAGTTGATCTGAGCAGGGGCTTCCCGAAACTCTGTTACCTGCACTGCCTCGATGATCGGCGACGAAGCTTGATTTGCGCGCGCTAGGCCCCGTCGGCTGTGGCGGCGTGTGGGTTTTGGATTGGGGGCATCGGGTCGGTATTTGATTGAGATGGGGGTGGGATGGAGTAAGTGTTTGAGTTATTATTTGCTAATTTACAATGTACCAAGGTATGGGCTAAATTTTCTGCTCGAACTTGCGCGGGGTTTCTCGAGATATCGGGTCTTTGTGGGATTACGTTCGGGATGCGACGAGGAGAGTGGGGGTTGCTACTAGTACTACGGAATAGATGTGAGGATAAGCTATTCGGGACTCCGTCATGGGTATCGTCAAGCGAGTTGAATAGGGTTGACTAGATTATATGTAGTATTTTGACTGATCTAGGGGAGACTGGTGGAATCTATGAGTAGAGGCGGGTTTGTTGTCAATGGATATCGCACTGCTGGTGAGTATGTTGCTGGAAGTTTCAAGAGCTGCAGTTGGGGGAGGGGTAAGATGCAGTTCAGTTGGATAAGCTGTATTTACAAGCGGATGGTTGCAGAGCAAGCGAAATATGCCCAGGTGTGTTGGTTGAGGATGGTCCGCGCAATAGAAGAATTGCAGAGTTTGCGCGAAGCAGAGCCGTGTGGTGGCTGCGATTGCGCAATAAGCAAGTACGGCGTGCATTGACTATACTCTGCCTAATACGAGGTAAGATAGTAGTACTCTGTATGTACTCCGTAGAGGAACATGATCCGAGGTGGCTTGGGTACGTTGTGGAATGTAGCCAAGCATTGTTGGGCTTCACCGGCGTAGTCTACGATAACCGATTGCGATTGGGATGGCAGCCAGTCTCAACGGTCGGTGGCGCAGAAACAGTCTGCACGCCCAGGCTCCGTACTTGAGGCGAAGATAGCCAGGGGGTGTACAGCTACCTGTCAGAAATGTACCCGTCGTCCGAGCACACCGTGCACCCTGTACGGCGCAGTGCAGTGTACCCTGCGCCCTGCGCTTCTCATAAAGCAATGGAAAATATATCCCAGACAGCTTCCGCAGTGGCTTTTGCAGCCCTGTCAAGGCCCACCCACCCCTGGACAGATATTTGGCATTACGTAGGCGCTAATTCTGGCGGCCGGTTGGGTTCGGTGGAGGCTAATTTGCGGCTGCTCCACTTGGGCCGGGCTGGCCTTGGAAGACCCAGGAGGGATGTACTCCGGGGGGAGAGACAGGGACAGGGAGAGCCAGTTGCAGAGCTAGCACCGAGACAAAAGAGAGACAACAAGAGCCATTGGGATTAGATTGTCTTGAGTGGGACATGGTTTTGCATTGAGATATCAGTGTCAGTGTGAGTGGCAGTGTGAGTGGCAGTGGCAATTGCAATGGCAATTGCAATCATGATAACAATTGGCATCGCAATCCTGGCGGTACAAGGTACAAGGGATTTTGTAGGTGGTACATTCCAGGGTGGACACCTCAACAGAGAGGCATCTGCTGCTTTCAGCACGAGGGCTCACGATCGGCCAGGACGCGTGGGCCCGGGCGGGGTGGAGCAGAGAAGAACAGGGAAAAGGGGCTCTGGTCTGGATTCTGGAATCCAAAGTCTGCTGAATCTGGAATCCGAGAATTTGGATATCCTTCTGGAATTAGTATGGAAAGGGTCGGGAGATTGTTCAGCCGTTGGAGGGTGGTGAAGCATCTTGGTGATGTTGATGTTGATGTTTATGTGGTGAAGCTGTGGAGTAGTGAAGCTATGAAGCTATTGGCAATAGCAAAGACGACCGAGACAGTGGCAATGGCAATGGCAATGGCAATGGCAATAGAGCCATAAATAGCTCAGGCATAAGTATAGATGTGAGGGAGTGAAGTGAGAGAGTATGAAGGTAAAGGGAGAAGGGGAGGAGTAGTCAATAAATATCACGTTACTCCCCCACCTCTTCTACTTTGCTCTGCTTCCAAGCTTCTCCTCTCCTCCTCCCCTTCTCTCCCTGAGATTCATCTTCTTCTATCCATTGATTTGTGAGTATTCCTTGATTTCTTTGGTATTCCTCCGTCCATCATACCCGGTACTCTGTACTTTGTATTCCCCAATTCGTCTTATCTGGCCACTGTTGTCGGTACTGCTCTCCCTCTCCTCCCTGCAAGCTGTCGACATAATGATCGACATGCGTGGCGACTAACCCCTCCTCTGTGTTGGCTTGGACGTTTTCTGTTCTTGACTTGAAATCTCCTCCCCTCTTCTTACCAATTCCCAATTCTATTTAATCCCTTCTCTTCTTTCCTCCGCCCCACCATCTCTTATCTTATTGTTGTCCGCTATCCGCCCGCTGTCCATTTCTCTGGGTTTTCTGGATCTTTGCTAACTGATATCCCCAACAGTCGCAGCCACCCAAAAAACCCCCCCCACAATCTTCCACAATGGCTGCTAAGGCTCTGCCTACCCACCTTCGCGCCCCTGCGACCGATGCTTCGTCCGGCTCTTTCTCCGGCAAGCATCATGGCAAGTCCCAGTCCCACATGGTAAGTGCCCTCCTCATGCCTCCCTGAGTGCCGAGTCGACGACAGAAGAAGAAGAGTGTTGGAGTGGCAATTGTACTCGGCTTCGCAGAGGCACGCAGTTGCTGGATCGTTCTTGCCAGGACCATCGCATGTCTATCCATTCCGTGGATCGCAATGTCTTCGCTCTCTGTTTACTTGACTGAGTGTTTACTCCTGCCTTGACCTCCTCGCCACCTTCTGTTCTTCTCTTCTTTCCTCGATCGGCTTGCTTCACACTTCTCCCCTCCATAGTCTCGCCACGCTTTTCGCTCCTCTGTGTACCTCATAATGCTAATGATACCTTCCTCGCCCCAGGCTTTCGAGAATGCCTCCACCAGCGTGGCTGCCTCGCAGATGCGCAATGCCCTGAACGCCCTCTCTGACTCCGTCACTGAGCCCGCCGACAAGAAGCGTTTCGAGACCGAGATGGACAACTTCTTCGCCCTCTTCCGCCGTTTCCTCAACGACAAGGCCAAGGGTAACGCCGTCAACTGGGACCGCATCGCTCCTCCCCAGCCCTCGCAGGTCGTCGGCTACGATGAGCTCGGTGCTGAGGCCTCTGTTGAGTTCTTGAACAAGCTGGCTGTCGTCAAGCTGAACGGTGGTCTCGGTACCTCCATGGGTTGCGTTGGCCCCAAGTCCGTCATCGAGGTCCGTGAGGGCATGTCCTTCCTCGACCTGTCTGTCCGCCAGATTGAGCACCTCAACCGCACCTTCAACGTCAACGTCCCCTTCGTCCTCATGAACTCCTTCAACACCGACCAGGACACCCAGTCCATCATTAAGAAGTACGAGGGTCACAACGTCGACATCATCACCTTCAACCAGTCCCGCTACCCCCGTATCATCAAGGACTCCCTCCTCCCCGCCCCCAAGAGCTTCGACGCTCCCCTCCAAGACTGGTACCCTCCCGGACACGGTGATGTCTACGAGTCCCTGTACAACTCCGGCACCCTCGACAAGCTGATTGAGCGCGGCATCGAATACATCTTCCTGTCCAACGCTGACAACCTCGGCGCCGTCGTCGATCTCCGCATCCTGCAGCACATGGTTGACTCCAAGGCCGAGTACATCATGGAGTTGACCGACAAGACCAAGGCCGATGTCAAGGGTGGTACCATCATTGACCAGGACGGCAAGGTCCGCCTGCTCGAGATCGCCCAGGTCCCCAAGGAGCACGTCAACGAGTTCAAGTCCATTAAGAAGTTCAAGTACTTCAACACCAACAACATCTGGATGAACGTCCAGGCCATCAAGCGTGTTGTCGAGGAGAACGAGCTGGAGATGGAGATCATCGCCAACGAGAAGTCCATTCCCGCCGATAAGAAGGGTGAGGCCGACCAGGCCATCTACCAGCTGGAGACCGCCGTCGGTGCCGCCATCCGCCACTTCAAGAACGCCCACGGTGTCAACGTGCCCCGTCGCCGCTTCTTGCCCGTCAAGACCTGCTCTGACCTGATGGTCGTCAAGTCCGATCTGTACCGCCTTGAGCACGGCCAGCTCGTCATGGACCCCAACCGTTTCGGTGGTGTCCCCGTCATTAAGCTGGGCTCTGACTTCAAGAAGGTCTCCGACTTCCAGAAGCGCATCGGCAGCATTCCCCGCATCGTCGAGCTGGATCACTTGACCATCACTGGTGCCGTCAACCTGGGTCGCAACGTCACTCTCAAGGGCACAGTTATCATCGTCGCCACCGAGGGCAGCACTATCGATATCCCCCCCTGGATCCGTTCTCGAGAACTGCGTTGTGCAGGGCTCCCTCCGTATTCTGGAGCACTAGATTTAATAATCGAGTCCCGGTCTGGTCTCGGTCTCGGTCTCAGTTTTCTTGCTGTCGTCGATTCGACTTTTAATTTGGTTTTGGGAGGTGCATTCGATGGAATCATGGAGTATGCTAAAGATGTGCCTTGTACTACATTACAATAATCCAGCGTCTTGTTTTCGGGCTGCCCTTTGCAGCCTCGTCTTTTCTTAAGTACGGCAGTTGCATCTACCTCCTCATTATTATTTCATTGATTAGTTGTAGTCCCTGCGTATCGACAGACACGGCTAAGCAGTCTTATCGATGTAGTGTTCCTAGTAGGTAGAAGTATACGAATGCCTTGGCAGTTACTACAATCGCTATTCAAGTTTCGTAGGAGCTAGTAATTAGCGGGTACCGTCTTTATGGGGCCATTCCAAGATTGTACTACATCGCTGTCGCTGTTTTGCATACTCCATCTTGTTGTTGCTGCTCTCTTTTCCGTCATTCAGATTGATTGGCGGGTCGTAATCCCTGACGGCGCTTGTAAACGTCATTTTGACATTGGCCAGGTTAACATCTCCAGCTTCCCCAAAGTACTTTGCCCTGTTTGGCTGGAAGTAGACAAGGATTTAACAGCCGGCTCCTTGATTCTGCTGTTTATGTGGACGGAATAAGACCGTCGGTTATCGATGCAGTCTAGGCGGCTATAGTAAACTCTTCTTTTCTGACCTGACCATTCTGAAATAACTTGATCTTGGACATCCTGGCAAGGTTTGAATTGTCTCTACAGGTTTCACCAATTTCCCCCCTTTGTTTCTGTTACGGCTTTCTTCCGCGCAAGGTAGATCTCCTTCGCCATGTGTCTTTTGAATCCGAGAAGCCAACTCAGGCCGCATCCCATTCTAGTCCCCCTTCGCCTCACTGGGTTATAATTCCCTTTCAATCGCCTCTCTTCTCCTCGCCCCCGTCGTCATTTCCGCAGCAAAGGCAAGAATTCGACATGGCGACTGGAGATTGGCGTTACAATAAAGCGTACTGCGGCGTATACTACAGCCACCCGACGATCTTTCAAACGACGACTCGAAACTTGAGACCATCACACTAGTACCACAACACAACACTGCATTTTCGGTATTCACCTGCTGCCAGTGCATATCTAGATATTCTCACTCAATCGACATGACCACCGACCAACGCCACATCACAACAGGTCCCTCGCCAACCTCAAACCTAAGCAGTCCCCCATTCAAAAATCCCACATCAACCCAAGCATCGAGCTCAACCGCCGCACCCAGCACCAGCCCATCATCAATCTCCGCCGTAGAAAACGGCAACGGCAACATTCCATGGAAAAAGCGTGTCTCAACAGCCTGTCTCGCGTGCAAAAAGTCCAAAAGGAAATGCTCCGGCACGCCGCCGTGCTCGAATTGTCTCACTTTCCACCGAGCGTGTATCTTCGACGAATCGCTTGATCAGCGCCGCCGCGTCGCGGCCAAGCGCACTGCTGATGAGTTGTCGTATCATCGCGATTTACTGAATGATCTGTTTACGCTGGTGAGGGAGGCGGATTCGGGGGCTGGGCAGAGGCTTTTGGAGCTTATTCGAGAATGTGCGGGGCCGGAGGATGTTAGGGAGTTTATTAGTGAGACGCTTTCTGGGTTGAGTGGGAGGATGACGATTGAGGGACTCCGGGGAGGAGATGGTTCTGATTTACTCTCCGGGATGAAAACGGGTTCGATTTCGGAATCAACAGAGACGTCGATATCGGCATCCCGTGCTTCGGGCTCGGGATCTAGCGCTAGTCTAGCAGCCAGTGACGCGATCAGGCCGGATAGAGAGAAGATTCAGTCTACGATTTCCAAATTGGAAGATGTGAAGGATGTCTTTAATGTTGAGGGGACTGAGCCTTCGTTTCGCAGTAAGGTTATGGATTTGCATTATCTCTGCGATGAGGCGCCGATCAAAGTCCCTGCGAAACCGTGGACCGGGGTCACGGATGATGATGATCTTGTTTCGCATCTTGTCTCGCTTTACTTTACTTGGGATTATCCTGTGCATGCGTTTGTGGATCAGGATGTGTTTTTGAAGCATATGGGTGCTCCGGGGGCGTCGAGGGAGGGGGGAGTTTTGTAGTGCATTTATGGTGAATGCACTTTTGAGTAATGCCTGTGTGAGTTTGTTTCTTTTTTTTCCGTCACTTTTTATTTTGTGATTTTGTTCTGGCTTTTTGTCGGATGTTTTGCTTTGGGAGTTGTTCACATACCAATGCTTGGATGATGCTGAAGCTGATGCTGATTCGGTGCGATGCTATCAGTATTTCTCCGAATTCTCTGAAGCATATGTCGTTCCTGGCGATATTTCCTCGAAGGGATGTGACTTTCTCGCTGAAGCAGAACGACTCAAAGCAGATGCCCCCTCCAGACCTAGTCTGGCTACGCTGCAGGGTACGCTTCTGATGTATGAGCGGTATGCGATGTCCCGCGACGATGATTTAGGATACATCATGCTTCACGAGGCTATTAGTATGGGCGAGTCTCTCGGACTGGTGGGTGTTTCTGGCTCGCACATTACTAGCGAGCAGTTGTCCAGAGACATGGATGCTTCATGTCGGCGGACGGCGTGGGGGCTGTTCAATATTGACACGTGGGTGAAAAAGGCACACTCGGTCCGAATTGGGAGGCTAACGAGTTTCAGGATGGTTCATACGGGCTTTCTTCGCCCTTGTCTCATTGAGCATGTCAATATGCCCCGAGTTGGCCGAGATGTTGGCCAAGATCAGCTTACTTGGAGACCGTATCCGACCCATCGCCAGTCGCGACCGTCTGAGATCAGTTTATACTTCGACGAGGCGTGTAATTTGTCGTCTATTGCGCGCGACATTTCGAGGAGTATGTTTGGCGGAGAAAGATCTCAACAATTGAGTCGCGAGGATTTGTATGAGCGGTTGATGCGGTGGAAGGAGTCGTTGCCAAATGAATTTGAAGATGGGATGCCACCCCATCTGATATTGTTACTGTGAGTATGGTCCTATTTTCCGGCCTATCCGAAACGCATTCTCTGTGTTTAGCTTATTTGACACGTTCTAGTATGCGTTTCCATACTCTCGCTATCAATCTATTCAGCTGCCCGACTCCCGACGCCGCCCGCTCTTCTGATGTATCAAAAACACCCGAAAGTCCAGGATACTCACCACTGGCAGAGCCCAAATACAGCCCGTGGCACATAACACAGACGGCCGCCCATGGGATCGCAGCACTGACTCGTCTCCATCGTCGCCAGTACGGATTGAGTCGAGCCCACCCGTTCGCTCTCTACGCGATCACTCTGGCGCTTTTCACGATGATGGAGAACCAATCTTTCGATGTTCTCGACCAGGACTTCCTATCCCTTGCTAGCGCATTTTCGATTGTGGCTAGTCGCTCCGCCTTGGGTCGCAATCTCTTCCATATCTTCCGACAATCAGTACGCGCTAAGGCGCAAGGCGATCGTATTCGCGAGGCTAGCTCCGTGCCCGATGAATTGAAGGATCTTTTTGACGAGGAGCCAACCAACCGGGGCCACTCCCGATTTGATGATTACGCAGAGGGGCTGGAGAAACTTAACCGTGATGAAAAGTACCATGGCATTGGTGACGGCCAGAGCCTCCAGGATTATCCCGGCTTAGGTCTTTCCGACATGTTGGATCGATATGAGAGCCTCAGCCTGGGAAAAGACAGCCTTTTACCTGCACGACAGCATACAGCGCCATGCTGATAGCAACTAGTACATGTCGATCGCGGGTGGCGTGCGTGTCCCATCTCCCGTGCGGAGTAGTTAGACCCAGCTACATTAACCTTGGTACGACCAGACCCTTGATTTGTTGGACATTTCGGTTATGATATCATTTGATCATCCGCTGCATCTACACAAAACCGGATATTACCGCTCTGCTCCAGTCATATTTCCGAAAATCTCGTCTTCAACCAGGAAGTGGTGGACAATTAACCAGCAAAATCTGCATTGGATGGTCATTCTTTGTTCAATTTGTCCGCCTTGCAATTTGCGCCCTCATGTTTGCTCTCTCTCTCGCGCACTGGCCTCTCACAATGCCTGGTTTTAACCCACTCCACACAGTCGGGAGCTATGCCTGCTTCCCCGCGAGAAGTGTCGGCCACCGGCTTCGCCAAATCAGATTAAGTATTGTCCCTGGCCGAGGGAATGGCGGAGTGGGGGTGAGTGGACCGGTTTGACTTGTCTTATTAATGAACTCATACCTCATTTCATCCTCGCTCTTACATCTATCGGTCGGCTGTCGAATCCCGTACACTCATCCGTCTACTTGATCGCCCTAATCAACTTGAACGCATGTCATTCTTAACTATACACCACCACCCCTGCCATGTCTCGTCGGAGTAGCCAGGGGTACGACATCCCTGTCGACAATAACACGAATCATCAGAACTGGGCGCCTCCTTTGGTCATCAGTCCTAGATCTTCAATGCCTATTGATGGATTGTCGATAGCGCCCACGCGGCCCATGGAACTAAACATGCTACAGCCATACCTACCTACCCTTCCCGATCGGAGTCCTATAGAGCATAACAATATGCGTGGCAACAAAGTCGCTATACCCCGCATCACCGGTCCGAATGTTAACCGTGGACGGCGACGTTCAGCTCGAGCCTGTGAAGCGTGCCGACAACGAAAAATCAAGTGTGACGGCGTAAAGCCAACATGCGGGCAATGCAACTACCACAACAATCAATGTTCCTACGAAGATGTCAAGCGCGTGAGGGAGCAGAAGGAACTGCAGCTTCTCGGACATCGCGTGGAGCATTATGAGCAACTACTGCGTAGCTTGGAGGCGGAAGTGGAACCGCACACAGCGCGCAAAATTCGGAAATCGCTGAAGGTAAGCATCGACAACACATCATACCGACATAACCAGCCATATTTCGACGGTTTCAGGGATTGACGAATTCGTCTTCCATACAGTCCAAAGGCACCAACAAGGTCGACGCCTGCAAAGATGGCGAAGACTCGGATTCTTCACTCGGATCTCTCGAGGATATTGATGAAGTGGACGAGGATTTGAATCGTGATGAAAGTACCCGAGCTGCTGGCTTCTTTGGCAAGAATTCCGAGGTCTCGTGGATGCAACGTTTGGAACATAGTGTTGAACGTGAGGCTACTTCGTCGCTTTCTCCGATTACGCCGTTCTATTCGAGTGACAATCAATCTTTCTCCCACCGAAAGCCGACTCGCGATGTTTCCCTTCACATTATGAACTATCATCTGGACGACCTTACCCTCCCCCCACTTGACGATTCTGATCCCTTTACCGTACCGTCCCGTGCTGCCGCCGACGAATACTTCAATACTTACCTGACTTTTGTTCACCCGATGTTCCCAGCGATTCGGAGAACGACCTTTGTTGCCCAATACCGGAAATTCTACGACGCCCGAACCATTCCACCTCGAAAATGGCTCGGTATTCTCAATATGATTTTCGCTATTGGATGCCACTATTCTCAGCTCGCTGAACCCCACGCTGATCGCCTGGACGATGCTTCAGTTTACCTAGCACGGGCTCGGAGATTGGTTTTCGACGAGAATATTCTGTTTGACCATCCGGACTTACAGCAAATTCAGCTTGAGCTTCTCGTGGCGTTGTATCTTCTTTGCCTTGGACAAATCAACCGGTATGCGATCGCAATACGTCACACAACTGATGTTGAGATTCTCTAACCAAAAGAAATCAGGGCATCCAAGTTTTCCAACATGGCGCTACACTCTGCGCTGTCACTTGGCATCAATCTCCGCAATACAGACGGTCGCATTCACGATGGAGCCAAGGAGGCTCGTTGTAGATTATGGTGGTCTATTTATTCGCTGGAACACCTGCTCACCTCGATGAATGGCCGAGCCTCGTGTGTCGGGGACGGTCTTTGTTCTGTGCCGCTTCCGATACCAGCCGAGGAAGAATCTTTTGATGACTCTGAAATCCAACTCCTCATGCAGAATATCAAGCGCCGCGAGGAGCACCTCAGACCCATAATCTTGGAAACACAGATACAGCGCAACACGCCGACTACCTGGATTGCGTCCCGCGATCCATCGCCGTCATTGTTCTTCCACCACCTTGTCGATCTGACTCTCATCTCACAGGCTGTTCTTAACAAGGTATACAGCATCGAGGGAATCCGCGAAGGTACAAGCCAGACGGAACATCGAATTCAAAGTTATGGCCGGAGTATGAGCCGCTGGGCATCCAAACTCAACCCGAGCTACCAGTTCAGTCTCCCAGACACCGGATATTGGAAAGTCAATCCCAATCTGGACGACGATTCACTCCCATACACCCGGGAAAGAGTTTGCCTAGCGATGAACTATTACTCTGCACGAATTACCCTCTGCAGACCGTGTCTAACCCAATCATCATCCACACCACCGAACTCAAGCCCGAAGCCCGGAACCTCACGACCATCCACACGCACCAAACTCCGGGCAGAAATGGCCACAAACTGCCTGCAAGCCGCATGCTCTCTCATCTCAATCCTGCCAGTAACCCCCGAGCTCTCCTGGATAGCCCGCACAACGCCCTGGTGGAGCGTCCTGCATTTCCTCATGCAATCCACAACCGCCCTCATCCTCGGCCTATCATACTGCTCCTTCTCATCTCCGCCGATGAACGTCAGTGTCGCAACCTCGGAACAGTCGGCATCGCAGTCCTCCAACACTACCCCATCTTGGACCCCGCCTCGTCCACTCTTGGAGGCGGATCTTAACATCGTGCTCGTCGCGACGAAGAAGGCGTTCGAGTGGATCCACACGATGGCTGCAATGGACCCTGCGGCCTCTCGCGCGTTTAAGCTATGCGATGGTTTGGTGCAGAAAATTGCACCGGGCTTGGGCCTCGATTTGTCGGATTGGCCTAGTGCAGATATACTCGCTGATGGCGGTAGTTATATGGATGAGAGAATGTCGAGGTTGGATGAATTGGTGGATTTTGAGGGCGGGGCTGTCGAGGGCTATTTTGATTAATGCCCACTGGGTGGTCGGGCTGATAGGAAGCTCTGCCAGTGGAGGATTCTAATTTTGGTCTATGAATTATGGAGCGGGTCCTGATACTACCTAGCTGCTGTGAGCAGGATGTACTTAAGGCTGAATTATAAAATTATGACTATCCACGCGATTAACGAATTTTTATTTTCCGTCCGATGGTGTTTCTAGCCCGATTCTACCTAATTGCACTTTAGGCCAGGCACTTCCATCACCTGTCTTTCAAGTCCGTGTCCCCTTAACTACACAGGTACTTAGACAGGGGCAAGGTATTTTGCGTGGTAGAAAAGAACAATTGATGGTCAAGATTGTTATCACTGCGGTAGTAGCTAGACATGAAGCTACTACAGTAAGGATGGTATTTACAAAGTGTGTATGATCACCCCCAAGTTGAAGCCCTGGAGGCTTACTCAACTGGTGCACCAAAAGTCGCCAGATCTAGAGGTCTGTTATAACTCCATCCTTCAAATGCCTTTCTCATTTCTTCTGACATAGGAGGTGTCCAATGGGGATCGGCAATTTCATCGCTATACGGTAAGTCTCGCATCTTTTTGCCTTGAGCAAGAGAGTCCCAATCACATCTGAAAGAAACTGGGTTATAGGAAGAACCGTAACATGGTCCAAAAGTACAGCCTGAACTACCTCTCCAGAGGAAATAGTGTGGTGGCCTATCAAGCATTTCCCTCGTCAGTGATGACGGGGAAGCTCCGCGATCAAGTAGCATGTTTTTGATTGTGTCGTCCTTCATGTATTTCCGAACCCCGATTTGGCCTCTTGCAGTCCAGTCGAGTGCAGTCCAGCCATGCTTATCGGGGGTATTCACATCGACATTCGGTATATCAAGGAGAAATCTAACGGTATCGACGTGCATGTTCATTGCCGCAAAATGGAGCGGGTTCATCAAATCAGGGTTTCCAGACCCTTTGAACTTTGCCCCGGCTTCGATCAGCAACGGTATTATTTCCGTCTTCCCCCTGCGCGCAGCCTCTATCATAGCTGCAGAACCAAGGGACTGCTCGGGCCATCTTTGGCTATGCACCGATAGCAAGAATTTCACTATATCCACATGGCCTTCCCTTGCTGCCGACACCAGGGGAGCCCAGTCTGGGTCATTGCAGAGCGAGTCCCGTTGTGTAGATCTTTCAACAAGGAACTGTACAGTGTCGAGGTGGCCATTCTGTGCGGCATAAGATAGGGCCGACTGAGAGTCATCATCAGTTTCAGTTTCAGGAAAGGTATTTCGATTTACCGGGCTCTTGGTTACCTTTTTGCAATTTATTCCTTCCTGGACAGTCTTCGAAAGTTTCTTAACTGGTTCCAAGGACTGAAGAGCGATACTGCTGTCGAGAAGGAGCTCTACTAAAGGCCGGTATCCACAAGCTGCTGCCCACAATAACGGCGTTCGACCTTCATCGTCCGTTAATCCGAGTTGGGCGCCATATTGGAGATGGAGATTCAATATTTCCTTATAACTTGAACCTGCCGACCACAATGCGGATGTTAAATTGGGTTGGATTAAAGGTTTCCAGTGTGTGTCATCGGGAAACGCGCTGTGCTCCATTCTCTTTCCTTCTTCTTTATTCCAAAGTTCGGAGCCGATGATATCTTGCTCGAAATAAACGGCTAACGGACAGTGGAGATTGCGTTTAGGATTTTGTGCATCTTTCCTGAACCAATTTTGTTGATGCGAAGCACAACTCTCACCCGCAAGTTGAGGGGACCCTGCCCAGTGTAGTGGTGTTCGCATGAGGTCGTCTTTGGTGTTTGGATCGGCCCCCGCGGCCAAAAGCAACCGGACAACACCAACAAATCCTAGTTCGGCAGCAATTGAGAGCGGGGTCCGCTTTTTTGGATATCTGATGTCGACATCGATGTCTTCCATACTCAGAAGCAGCTTGGCCATGTCCTCGTCCCCGCGGATGGCCGACCAAAGGAGTGGACTCCAACTCTTGGGAAGCGGCGGATTTGGACTGAGTCGCAGACCTTGAGTGCTGTTGGCGGAGATCCGTAAAAGCTCGTGTATGGTACGAGTCTGTCCCATCTGCGCGGCGTAGAGCATCACTGCATGGCCGCCATCACGGCGTATTTCATGTTCGTACAATAGGTCGTTAAAAGACTCGTGGAAGAATCGGCATGTGCGGACGATGTTATTAAAATACTTTTGTGAGTCCAGTTCAGCGACGATTTGCTGTATCAATTCGTTGGGGAGTGTGATTAGCGACATTGTGCTTCGTTTAGCAAGAAGCTGGTTAATAAAATAAGCTCCCAGAATATTGTGAACATAAGGAGTACACACCCCTATTTTATCGAAATCGCAGAGTCTGAACTAATTGAGACGATGGCTAGGACTCCCACACAGCCACCGCCACCAACCTGCTCTAGCTCGTTATTCTAGGCAAGCATCATTTCAAATGGATGGATCGCCGCCCGGAATTTCATGTGGGGGCCATGCGTGGAAGAACGTACATAAAGCAAATATCCGTTTCGATCTGGGACATCCGGACTCGGGCCATCGTACTCGAGTTTTGAACCTCAGAAGGGAATTCTAAAAGTCGACTACTGCTTCAAGTTGTAGGACATCCATGGATAAAAAAAAATAAACGGTGCATACTAGTACAGACCTCGGGAGATATAACTAGTATTTATTTCAGAAACAGGGACAGGAACCTCGGTTGGAAAGAAAAACCCTAGAACTTGAACTTCCCAAGGTTGGAAAAAGCTGGAAAATCTCCGATCCATAGAGCGAACGAGATCTAGACTACCACCAAGGCAGCGGCATCAGTGCAATGCATTACTAGCACAAGAGAAAGCCTGACCAAATCCACCAGATCTATAACTATCAACAACAGATTGCACCGATGCCTAGAAAGCACGAAGCCAATCAGCCCCCCGGACCAAAAATATAAAAGCAAATGGAAAAGGGGAAAAAAAACTCACATAAGTGCCAGGGCCCAAAAACAAAAGCCCAATGCAAATAATACCCACGTTAAAAACCAACTCAACCCAATGCCGAAAACTCTGCCTCTTCAAAAGATAACTCTGATCAGCCCTCCGCATCCGAATCCAAGCAAACCCCCAAAGAATAAATCCAAAATATGAGCCGAAGATCGCGCTCATAATCGATAGCAGATTCGTGAAGAACGGAATAACTTCTGAAATAATCCACGCCACTGTCCAGAGAAATAGGAGGATAGCTGCCCAACTAGCCCAGCCGATAAATGTGTGATTAGCTTTATGACGCGTTCCGTCAAACATTCGAAAGAAGATGAATCTAGCCGAGACAGATGCGTACAGCACGCCCAGAAATATGAGCGTGGGGACCATGAACGAGAAGGATATTTTCATGTAGATGTCGTTTCCTAATGAGGCGAAGGCTGGCGATGTCATGTATTGATTGCCGACGAAGACGTAGATCAGAGCGCCGACGACGGTGAAGAGAATTATTTCCGCGATTGTGACGGCTGCGACGGATTTCCAGAAGTCTTCTGGCTCCTTCATTTCGGCGATGAAGCTGGGGATGGTGATTTGGCCGATGAATGTGAAGCTTATGTTTAGGAAGGCGCTCATTCCTTGCACGAATGTCGTGCCTGGTGCTGGGAAGTTGCGGATGACGGGGTCGCCGGATGCTTCGGTCCAGCCGTAGGGGTGGTCTTGGATTCCGGCGAATATTATCGCCAGGAGGATGGAGATGAATGTGGCTATTGCTGATAGTGTTCCAATTTTTGATAGTGTGCCGAATGTTCGGGGGAGAGAGCAGAAGAATGATACAATCGCTGTGATGAGGGCCAAGGCAACTGTGCAGAATGGATGGCCTGTGACTGTGTTTAGATACTCGGCTCCGACTAGACAATGGAGTGCCTGGAAAATTTGTTAGTCTCTTCGGGCATTCAGAGGGCATGTCTGGGATGGGAAATGTGTACTTGAATGAAAGTATTGTTCAGCAAGAACATCGCGGCGGCGATATACCAGACGATATCGGAGTCGAAGAACAAGATTTTGCTGATATCGCAAACGTCGCGAACTTCCGGGTGTCGCAGGCAAAATCTCCTGCATATTGCTTAATTCCTCTTCGTTCTATGATCAACATCTGGAATAGCAAGACGAACCATATTGTCAACGATGTATAAAGCACTATCATCGCGATAGCCAGCGTCAACAGCAGCCCAGGTATAAGCCCAAGAACCGAATATGACCAGGGAAACGACATAATGGCTATGCAGATGTATTCTGAAAATAGCAAGGCGGCCGTCTGCGAAGATTGATTGATTGAGCAAATGTTTGAAAATGAGATATTCTTTATCTCGGCGTCCTACCTTTTGCCAGCTACATGTCCGGTAATTGATGGTGTCCTGATTGCTCAGGACCTCTTGGTCGCCGAGGTTGTCAGTCATTATAGAACCTGTTTCTGCCTTAGCGGCATCGTCACATGGGTGAGATAATTCCGACTCTTTTTGATGTGAGTCGCTTGGCTTTGTGGTTTGTGATTCGGGCTGGATTGAAGCTGGCTGTGACTGAGATGCCAGGTTGATGTCCATTTCCGGACGTATATCCATTTCCGGAGTGGTGTTGCTAGGCGGACTCCTTTATCGATAAAGGGTTTTCTTGTGAGGTCGCACTTGGGTGAATCGATCCGTTAGCTTTATTGTCGCTTGCGGATACTGTTGCTGTGGGTAATTTTTGATGTTTAATTCTCAGTAAATTGTGAGATAGCCGGGTGACTTCCCAGTGAAGGCAATAGTCATGAGAATAATATGGGAAATATAAGAGACCTGTTGGATGTACTAGAAATAAGGACTAATACTCAGATATGAATTAAAGAATGCTGGGAAAGTCACTTGGATTCAATAATCAAGTATGAAACAGACAAATTTGGGATTGGTGGTTGACAGAAATGTCGGGAAAGGAGCAACAAGATATCTCTTGTAATACCTGACTTTACCCCACACTCCACGCCCGCTATCTCCAACGTTAAAGCCAAGAAAATGAAACAGAAATTTTATCAACCTCAGTATAGAGTTCAAATAGTAATAAACCGTAATCCTGAGCTCGTAATTCGGTCACCTAAAGAGAGTATCAGAGTAAGGATTCACCCCCCCCCCCCGGCCCCGCCCAACCTTGCCGTCAACCAGCCAAAACCCCGGACAACACATCGCGTAGTCAAAAAAGAACTCAATGACGAATTGTTCCCTAAATATTAAATACGGTCGGGATGACTGCTGAGTACCATCGCGCATAATCTTTCAATGACAATCTTTGTTTAGTCTCATGGCGGGTTTCTTTACCCGGTCTACCTGTCCGAAAACGGCTAACGATAATCATCCCCCCCCACAAAATCCGTGCTAAGGCCTCTCGACAATGGAAATCGTATCTGAAAGGAGATATTGTGTCCATTACTCCGCAAGAATGTCCACTTTGTCATTATTAGTATCTTGGGTTTTAATGCCTCACATTAAGTGATGAGGGAATTGTGTATTTCCTGGCCGAGTACTAGATAGAAGGAGACCCCACCAGTGTTCGAATGTCGGTTTCTAGAGGGATAATTCGTTATGGAACGATATTTGATTCGGGTTTTTTGTAGCCCTCGACAAATATACAAGGTGTATGAAAATTGATACAGTTGAATATTCATCCGTGCGCTACTTCTCCATTCTGGGTTGATAGACTGTGGTAGTACGATCGAGGGTCCTGGAATTAGCGTAGCCGCCGTGCGTTAGTGTACTTCCATTAGTACTAGTTAGTGTATGGACGAGCAGGATTGGATTGATGGGATAAATTCTTCAGGTTGGCAACTTGAACCAGGGCTGAAGCTGAAATGGCGGACCTAGTGTGGTGGAAACCTTGAAATATGCCATTGGAGCGATTGAAAGAGATAGACAATGCAGGTATTCGCCCATAAATTAGGAATATGTACTACAGCATTAGATATATAAAACAAGAAGACCACCGGCTAAGCAGAACAAGATAACACAAGACAACAAGACAAGACCAGCAAGACAGAACATGAATAAGGGGAAACAAAATGCGGGAAAAAAAATTCAGAACAAGCCATATCCGGACGATGCCCATGCGAATATCATGAAAGAGAAAAGACACGCAAAACGCCGCCGGAAATATTTCTCGATCGTGTTTGATCGAGGTGGAGTCGGAGTCGAGTGAACGTGAACGTGAACCGAACAGGACAGGACAGGACAGGACATGAGACATGCGATGTAGGATAGAACGTATGCGAGAGCGAGTAGCAGAATAGAGCGGAAAAGCCAAAAGAAAACCAATAAAATGATAACACTTGAACTGGGGGAATATGGGAATGGAATGGAATGTGTCGTAGACATCAATCAAATCAATCAATGCAAAATATGGGGTGGGGTGAGGTTATTTGTAAAGTAGGGCTGGAACGTAAACGCCGAAGTGAGGTATATTGACAGTGGGATTTCGGGGAGGGGTTATGTTGGTTGTGGCTGCAGCTGTACCTGGAAAGTATGTTGATGCTGGTACTGCGGGGCAGGTCTAGGCGGGGCCGGGGACTGCGATTGGGAGTGCGGTTGTTGCTGATTGGGAGATCGGCCCTGTGGCTGTGCTTGAACCGAGGCTTGAGCATTTTGGTGGCCTTGTATAGACGGGTGCTGCAGACTGTGCATAGGCGGCATTTGCATGAATTGGTGAGGGGGTGTTGGCCGCGAAGCATTGATGGGTGCCTGCTGGTGCATTTGAAGGTGCGGCATTAGCGGTTGGCCAGGCTGTGGGAGGACCTGTTGGCTTGATGGGTGGTGCTGGTTCTGCTGCTGCATGTGCTGTCCTTGTCCCATGTGTTGCTGGCTGGGCTGCTGTGGCAGTTGCTGCTGCGCATGGTGCGGAAGAGACATGCCTTGGGCCTGAGGTGAAATGAAGGGCAGACCCGAATGTGCCGATAGACCAGAATGCGAGTGGGATTGGCTCTGTGAGGACATTGATTGGTGCTGTTGCTGTTGCAATGGCTGCTGGCCTTGCAGCTGGGGTTGGCCCGGCATGGTCATATGGTGTTGGCCCTGCTGAGGGTAAGGCGGCGTCACACCAGGATGTTTGTGAGCGTCCTCCTGGGCGACTAGGTTCTGGGCTGCGTTTGCATCCGAAGTGTGCACCGGTTGGGTCGGGTTCTCTCCTTGTTTCTGATCGCTATTTGCTGTGCCACCGCCGGCGGCGGCGGCGGCAGCAGCAGCAGCAGCAGCAACATCGGCCTTACGAGGTCGTCCACGAGGTCGGCCTGTTCCGGGCTTAGGAACATATGGTTTCTTTGGTTTTGGCGGCGGCAAAGGTTGTCCAGTTGCCTGAGCCCAGGCAATTTGGTCGGCCTTGCGTGGTCGTCCACGCTTCCGTTTGAGGGGCAATGGGGTTCCATCTGGGCCGATTATGGTTCGTTGCGGGGTGCTGGTCCCAGGTATCAGTGCTGCAGGCGCCATATTGGGTCCGAATGAGGCCTGTCCTGGATGTGTTGCTGGGAGAGGCTGGCCAGTAGCTAAAGCGTGGGCAACCGCAGCGGCATGTCTTGCGGCAACTTCTTCTTTCCGGGGCCGACCTCGCTTGCGACGTGTCGGGGTCTTCGGTATCTCCCCGTTTGTGCCAGCGACCGGAGGTACTTGGACATGGCCATTCTGTTGTAAAGCGGGGATTGCAGGGGCCGTGGGAATAGCAGCGGTCATGGAGGAAGAGACAGGAGCAGGAGCAGGAGCGGTTGCTGGGATCGAAGGCGTCGCCTGAAACGAATGCTGATGTGCGGCTTGGGACTTGCTGACCGTAGATTGACGAGGTTTCGACTTTTTCTTCGGAGCGGGGCTTTGCGGCTCAGATTTGACCTGTGACTCAGGCTGAGAGATGGAATTTCCTTGGCCTGGCTGGCGTGGTGGAGGCATGAAGGAGCCGTTTGATTGATCGACCTGTGGCTGGGACGGTCTGACTGGTTGAGCCGGTTGAGATGGCGGCTGGTAGTGCTGGAATTGAGCGGGGGTGAATTGAGATTGCCGGGACTGCTGCGGAGATTGGGGATATTGGACTTGAGCTTGAGCTTGAGCTTGTGGTTGGAACTGATATCTTGACTGTGGTGGTTGGTATTGATTGAATTGGGTTTGCGGATGCGATTGGAAGGAGTTTTGGTGCTGGTAGGATTGTTGGGCTTGTTGCTGCTGCTGAAGCTTTTGTAACCTTTGTTGCTCCAGTTGCTGCTTCTGCTGCTCTGCCTTTTGTTGCTCGACTCGCTGTTGTTCCAAACGTTGCCGCTCCAGTCGTTGCTGTTCCAATCTCTGTTGTTCTGCCGCGCGCTCTTTCTCTTGACGCTCTTTCTCCAGCTGTTGTTGCTCCTGCTTTTTTCGTTCCAACTGTATCGCTTGTTCTAGCTGTTGTTGTTCGAGTCTCTGCTTCTCAATGCGCTTTTGTTGCTCCTGTCGCTGTTGTTCGGCACGTCGTTCAGCCCGCTGCTGTTCTATCCGCTGCTGCTCCGCTCGTTGTTGTTCTAAGCGCTGCTGCTCAATTCGTTGCTGTTCCAGCCGTTGTTGCTCAATGCGCTGCTGTTGCTCATGGCGCTGCTGCTCCAACATCTGTTGTTGCTGTTGCTGGAGCTGCTTCTGCTGCTGGTATTGCTGCTGTTGCCTTTGCTGTATTTGTTGTTGTGTTTGTTGGGGCGACTGTGGTTGGGAATGCGACTGTCGCTGTTGGTTGATGGCAAACATAGAAGGACTGGCCATTGAAGGACTAGCAGAAGAGTGATTTTCTCGCTGTTGAACCCCCGAGTGAGGCAGGCGGTTCATAGACTGCTGCGGAGATGATACGCCCATACCTTGTCCATGCGAAATGGCCCCGGAAGGGCTCATGCCCGGGGGTTGTCGCAGATGGGCGAGAGTATATCCGCGTTGCATGTTCTGCATGTTGTGCAAGGCCATTGGATCTTGGTTCCTACCCATGAGGTCCGGGGAGCCCTGCGGGGCAAAGTGTCCGGGGAATTGCGCAAAGCTAGTCGTTGGGGGATACCCCGCGAGTGGGCCTGCGGTCGGGGCCATCTTGCGCATATCGGGAGATTGAGCGGTGGTATAATTTTGTTGGGGAGGAGGTCGGAAGAGAGGTTTGTTGCCCGAGTATGGAGATCCATGTTGTGGCAGGTTCGGGGTTGCGCCTAGCGATGGGGTGTGTTGGCGCTGGGAGCCGAGGGGATGCTGAGGTTGTGCTGAAGGATGAGTTTGCTGGGATTGCTGTTGTTGCTGCTGTTGCTGTTGCTGTGACTGCTGGGGATGGAAGGGCTGGCCCCCGTATCCCATCATCTTCGAGGGTGTTTTCTTTGAAGGTTGCCGTCAGCGGCGAAATCAGGTCGGTTGCTTTTTCGTCGAGTCACGCGAGATCCATGCGACGGGGAGTGGGGGGGGGAAGTCTGGACGATCAAGCGCCTTCGACAGCAAGAATGGACCACACGAGCAAGACTCGACGCAGAGCGCAACGACAATCACCGCAGAGCCAAAGATACAGCTGGGCTGGACTGGGGCGATCTGGGCGCGCCGCGTGTTTTGTTGTTCCGGCCGGAGGTGAGAGACGAGGCAACGAGGCAGTAAGGCAGTAAGGCAATAAGGCAACAAGGCAACAAGGTATCAAGGCATCCAGCCCAATCGGGAATCCCAAAACGGATTAGGGGCTACTTTTGCCCGGAGTGGCCGTCAGCGCTCAAGTTGAGAAATGAGCAGCGGGCGCACACAGAGAGGGGGTAGGAGGACAAGGTCCAGCAGGGGATCAGGGGAAAAAGAGAGAGAAAAAGGGAGGCAGACCAAACAAGCCTTGCAGGCTGTATGGGAGAGGGACAAGGACACCAAAAGTGGATGACGGGCTGGATCTGATCTAACGACAATTCGAGGGGGAAGAAAAAATAATTTATTTTCTCCACATCACGTGAGTGTATACCCGCACTAGCAAGTACGCTACAGTGTATACCACAGTGTATACCACAGTGTATACCACAGTGTATACATACAAGAGACTACTAGTATACTTTATCACACTTCTTTTCCCTTTCCCTTTTGCTCCACTCTTAGATCCCCCAAACACGGCGCATGAAAGAGCTTTCCGGACACTACTCCCCGCAGAGTCCCCAAACTAACCACCATCCACAGTATCACCACCAGCACAGACAAAATCTGCAAAAATAACCATCAATTAACATATATTTCTCCACAAAAAAGCAGTCAATTCTCAACTACTAACCGTCCCCAGAATATGGAAAATCTTCGAAGGAAGTTCATTCCCCATCTGCACCGTACTCGCCGCAAACACCCCCAACGGAAACGTGAATCCCCACCACCCGATATTAAACGGAAAGCTCTTCAATCGAACAATCGAAGCAGACGCAAAAAACAGCCAAACAAGGCCAAAAGCCCATAGAATCAGCGCTACCAGAAATCCCAGTGTATAAAACGTTGACCCAGACGATTGTTCTAACGTCTTCGTCTGCGGGAAGATCTTCTGGGCACATTGGCCTAATTTCATTGCACTAACCAAGGTTAACCATTTAGCAAGATTCTCAACTGATACTGGTAATCACGAATGGACCTTGAACTTGAAGTATAACTTTTTGAAACTTACCCATACCCCCCCTGTCCCAGCGGACCCAAGGGAAGAAAGACGCTCACGATCACCGCTTTCGGCGGTAGTTTGTGGAGAGTTAGTCGCATTAGATAAATCACCATTACCATGAGTGCAAGTGGGAGACCCATGCCCCAAAGCACGTAGCTTGCTATTAGCGTCCACAGAGCATACTGTTCATTGGGCAGGATCTCAGCAACAACCGCTCCCGACGAAGCCGCAACAATACAGCTAACGATTGGCAAAAGCCAAACGGCCGTCATGGAAGAAAGATGTGTTTCGCTTCCGTTGGCCATTCTATTCATCACCAAGGAGGTATTAATTCACAACATTCTGCTGATTCAGGACGCGGTATAACGGAAAGGGGAAATCATACAGAATAAACGGCAACGAAAGAGCCGTCAAGACCGAAATACCCGCGTCGAAAATCCACAGTCCCCATGCGAAATATCGTACCCATTCTCCCCAGATGGGGACACAGACGAAAACGATCATGTTAATTATCGTCGCGAGGCCCATGGGAAATGTCCCCATGAACATTGACTGTACTGGGTGCGTGATCATTACGGTGAATATCTCGGGGTATAGACTGTACCGGAGAAAACTGATTATAGTCCCCAGTGCAAAGAGGAGGACGTTTAGGGCGAAGATTGTTATTGAGATCCAGTAGAGCCATGGCCCGTTGTAGGGGAGGTTGTGGAGGAGGATGGAGACTATTCCTGTGCCCATTGTTACGGAGAACCATCTTCGGAGATTAGTGGGTGGATGCGAAGGTGGGAAGGAAAGGGTGAAACTGACGACGGGGTGAAATTCCGAACTACTCTCCTCCACCCATGCTCGTATTTTGAGGTACGTGTCTGTGGTGGGTTTGTAGATGAGGTGTTTTGATCAGGTGGCGAGTGCGTGCTTGCGCGAGGAGGTGTCGCTGACATAGTTCAATTGTAGGGAGAGGGGGTTTGCGTCGTTGGAATCCAGTTGATTTCAATTGGCTTGTAAATACGCAGTTGAAAAACAAAGAAACTTCAAGATCGGGTTGGAAATTGAAGCCTTGAAGTCTCTCGAGGTATGACTCGTCGATCGGTGTCGGCCGAGATTCGGGAATGTCGGCACATAATTCGCATCCGCTTCAGGGTTCATCCCCACATTCCCAGCCTTATCCACTTGCCGCCGTCAATTCGATATTCACTGGAGCATGTTTGAAAGGTCAGATATATTGGGAGACATTAAGTTGTTGAAAATTGCAAAACAGATGTTGGCTCATGTTATTAGATAAAATTCACCACCCCCTCAACAGATGTCTCTCCAGTGAGACCACAATTGGACAAACTAATAGTATTCTTATTGTTCCAAGTTTGCGACCTTTTGACACGTAGAAAAATACTAGTACAATGCTTGGTACTAACTGAGTGAGGACGAGCTACTACTAATATCATAGTATCTTACGAACTTAAAATCCAAATCAGAAAGAAGATCTACACCGTGACCGATCTCCAGTCTCCCCACACTCCAAGACAGAGACGGAATCGGGAAAAGCAACGTCTAGAACACAGTCCTGCTGATACTACGAATGGATCTGTTATCGAGAATCCTTGTCCTCAAATAGTGATCTTACCTAGGTATTTGAACCCTTGTATCGGTTCAAAGTACCGATATCACATCTCAATACCAGCACTAATTCTCTAAAAGCTGAATCTCTATTTCCAATGAAAGAATATTGTAGAGATCTTAACAACCTTAAAAATTCGAGTTGAATTCAACCAGTAACTAGTAACACATAATCGAACATTAAACCAACCATACCGGTCCGGATAACCCCTCCATCATACAGCCATCCCCGAAGGCCGAGATAATCATCGGTTCAAACCAAGCGGGTTCTCGGCAGTCTGCTCCTTGCCCCCAACACTTGACACACCACTCTGAACACCCTGTCCAACGCCCTTGGTGGTATTTCCCAGTCCCTCCGTCGCGCCAGAAACCGTTTGTCCGAGCCCTTCTGTGACGCCGCCGACCGTGTTGCCTAGTCCACCGACTGCACCTCCGACTGTGTTTGTTACGCCGCCGACTGTTTTGCCGAGGGTGTCTGTGAGTCCGCCCAGGAGGCCGCCATCTGATTGCGGATATTAGTAGTTGTTTCAAAATGAGGGGTTGTGGTATGGATCAGGATGGCGAGGACGTACTGTTGTCTTGGGACATTTTGATACGAGTTGAGATGATTGATGTAGGGAGAACGTTAAGCCTGTGCAAGGGATGTGTAAATCTTTGCTTGATTGTAAGTATAATTATATCTCATATGGCGGTTTGAATAGTTTAAATACTGCCCCGATTACACTTACGAAATATGATATAATGCGTCCCACAAGCCACATTTGTCACTGTCATGGAAAATACAACACCCCTGCCACGCGGCCGACAAATCACATCCCCACGTTAGGCCTGTCAGTTTGACACCAAGACCAACGGGCCAGTAATCTCTTTCCTGACGTAGTGACATACAGGGTATCCACATCCTGATCTCATTATCAGGGATGGAGTCACGACGGCCTTGGTCTCTCCGAAGAGTTATTGGTTGAAATTCCTCATCGCGCCACGGCTTTGGCATCGTGAATATCTACCAGCAGTGGGTTAGTGGTTGTTGATTGTTGAAACTGAACTCTGTTAGATTAATGATGATATGCCTGGTCTTGGAGGTGGTTGTATGACTTGCGGAGCGCCCTCGTGCCTGTTTTGCGGAATGACATCATTTGCTGCGTATCTTGTCGTGGAGAAATATGTGGATCAGCCAGGGTTGTTCAAAGTGTTTTATATTAATTTGGGGGCAGTGCGGAGCATGGATTGTCAATGCGCTTTTTCTTGTACTTCCAGGTTCTACCTTGGAGTAGTAATCAATGGTATGTATGCCGGCGTTCCTATTTACTTAGGATGTCTACTAGTACTAGTATATGAGATGCACGCTTCACAATTAACATGCATGTAACTGTCGCGGGAATTTTTACACAGTCTTCCAAGTTCGATAGTACTGTTTTATGTACCGAGTTAAAGACTCGCTTTCCCTTGTGACTCGTAAGGCATGAACACGACCAGAATACCGGCCGCTATGAACAACGCACCACTGACATAGACCGGAGCAGCGGTCTCAAGGTTAGCAAACATGGCAATGATAGGAGCCATAATGCCGAAAATACGATTCGCAGATGCTGTCAGGGCATTTCCTGTGCCGCGATCTTTTGTCAGGAATATCTCTGGAGTATACGCGTACAGCACAGCATACATGAGACTGCTCATGAAGGTGAATGCGCAGTTCCACCCCAGCAAAGCGTTCGATGTTTTTGCTGTTGTTGACGCGAGAAGAAAAGCGCCTGTGAGACCCGTTGAAACTGACAGTGCGCCCTTTCTTCCGAAATTGGGGAGTTCCACGAGAAGCCCTCCTAGCAGACAGCCAGGGATACCCATCGTTGAAACAATCAGGGAGTTCCGGTATGTGATGTAAACGGAGCCGTCGCCGAATTCTGCCCCACGAGATTGTTGGATAAATGGGAGGAAGGCATTGTACAGAGGGAATCCGAGACCAATAAAGGCCCAGACAAGCACAATCAAAGTGGTTGAGAGCGCACGTTTGGGTGTGTCAAAGAGCGCGCGAATATGATTGAACTTCAGCTTTTCCAGCCTCTGTCGAACAACTCTTGTCGCGCTGTGACTCTGCGCTTCACCTTCGTCTAGACCATCCAATTCAGCCTGTGATAATGACGAGGTCTTGCCATTACGGCGCGCGACCTCATGCACGACATGCACCGCTTGATCATTCTTCCCCTTACCCATCAAGTACTTCGGCGACTCGTATATAGTAAAGAAAGCGAAGCGCGACACAAACATAATCATAGCCAAACCCCCCCATCGCAATGAGGAAATATCTCCACCCCATATTCTCACTCTTGGTGCACCCCTCCACCTCCGCACAAGTCATTTTCCCAATCAAAGGCCAAGCAACCAAATTCGCCAAAAGCTGCGCAAAGGCCCAATCAACCGACAAAACAGTCAACAAAAACTGATGCGACCCGGGCAAAAATTCCAAGAAAATCGCCGAATCAACCGGTAAATTGCCCCCAACCCCAAGCGACCACAACGCAGCGAATGTACAAGCCGCGCCGAAATTCGGCGATCCAGCCGCGACGAGCCCGAATACTGCGGTAATGCCGATGGTGAGATTGAAAGCCCAGCGCCGCCCAAATATGTCGCAGCCGAAGCCCCAGAATACGGCGCCGAGGAGGAGGCCGATGTTTTGGGCGAGGGTGAGGAGTGGCGGTTTTGTGACGGCGAATTCGTAGGAGAGGGGCGTGAGGATTAGAGATGTTATTATGGGCCAGAGATTATCGCTTGCCCAGCCGAATCCGATTACCACGAAGAGCTGCCATTGGTATCGGCCCATGCCTATTTCTTGGATCGCACGGTTGAGCACGTTTGCTTTGGCGCGGTATGTCGAGTCGGGGTCATCTTCGGAGAGATCTGCGATCGGAGGAGGTTGTGGAGAGGGCGATTTGGGGTTTGCTTGGTCATTATTGTGACTTGGATGTGTTGTCTTCTTGGCCATGGCGATGGTGATCGGGGTAGTCCGATCGGACTCAACACATTGCTTTTTCTCACTGAGAGGAGAGTCTTTTGCTCTTATAAAGTACCAAGTTCTTGCTTCGGTGTCAGTTTTAAGCTATCCTGGCACAGAAAGGGGACAGCTGACAGCTGAATGCAACGTTGCGACCCTTGCGCGAGACCTCTGGAATCTGCATCAACAAGCGCGAATCAGAGCTGTTTGGATTGTCCCCGCAAACTCTATCGGGGTGGGGATCTTGATTCTCCTCGTGTTCGATTGGATCGTGGCATGGCGTGATCGACGGGTATGTTTTCGTCTTCGTGTTTGTTCGTGATTTTCAGGGTCTTTGAAGTCGAGAGATCTTAGTGGAAGTGACAGGTTGAGGTTGGCGTGGAGGAAGGAAGCTTGGAATGTGGTGCTGTTGACAAAAGGGCAGCCCGAACTACTATCTCTACTACTACCTAGGTATACTTGTAACTAGTTACTAGTATTAGTTGAAGATGCACTGTCTCTCTCTAATGCAATTATGTACTAGTAAATATTCCACGTTTACCTAGGTGCTACTAGTATACTTCCTATGCGAAGGAATCATTCGAGTTGACGGATGGAGCTTGATTCCAATACTAGGATTCTAGCTAGGTACTACCTAGATAATCAAATCACTCGCTCGAGATCGACTGCAACTTTCCAGGAATCATGAGCATTCCCTCACCACCGGAACCATCTAAGTAGAGCTAGCCTTAGCAGCCAAAGCACTAAACGGCGTCGCACCAGGATAGAAAGAAGTAGGAATAGTAGGAATAGGGATCTCCGAATCCGTGCCAAAAGCAGTAGCCAGGTCACTAGCCATGGTAGCAGCAGAGTAACCAGTCGGGGCGGTCTTGACTGTCACAGTAGTCGAGTACGAAGTGACATCGCCGCTTTCCTCCTTCAGACATGCGCCAGAGCCGTAGGCACTGTTGCAGACGTAGGTCTGGTAATCGCCCTCTTCGGTCCACATGGCAAAGTCCTCGATAGTCACGTCGGTGCAGGGCGCGCCGGGTGCGCAGTTCACTTTAATCGGGCCGCGCTGGGCGCCGTTCGCTTCGGTGCCTTTCCAGTTGCTGATTGTGATGTTGTCGAGTTGGACGCCGGAGCCGGAGACGGTTGACATGCTGCTCCAGGCTTGGTCGATGTCTAGGGAGTAGGCGTTGCCGTGGCCTGGGGATGTTAGTTGGGGGTCTTTAATGGGGAAACATCGGGACTGGGTAGAGAAGGGGGAGAGTGGCCCATACCGATGAAGTTCTCAAGGATGACGTCGGAAACAGAGCCGCTGCCGCCGTTGCTCTTTATCATGTACATCTGGTTGGAGGACCAGGTGTAGATGTTGCGGTAGGTGATATCGCTGATAGCAACATCGGTGGAGAGAGAGCCCATGGCGCAGCCACCGCTCCAGTTGCAGTAGATATTCTCAACCAGGATGCTCTTGGAAGGACTCTGCATTGTGTTAGTGATGAAAGACCAAGAGGTTGGTGTTGGTAATACATACCTTGACAGTAACACACTCGTCCTTGTTGGTGACCTCGACCTAATAATCATAAGCAACTGTTCGATGAATTCCACCCAGACCTGACACAAAGCCCATATCTAGAGAAACAGTGCACCTACATCGTGAATCCAGATATCATTCGACCACACATCAATACCATCCAGACCACCAGAGTTACCACCACGAATAGCCATATTGTAAACCTCACCACCAGTACAAGTATCCATCGAGAAATGGAAAGCGGGCGCATCAACCAGAATCAAATCGTGAACCGAAAAGTCTGTAACCTCATACAGGCGCAGAATACGAGGACCACTCAGAGATCCCTCCTTGTGGAACTCATAACCATATCCCTGCACCGCGCCCTTGGAGTTGGAACTGAAGAGCTCGAAGTCGGAGGTATGCTCGATGAAGATCATGTTGCCTCCATCCGAGCCGGTGCGGTAGATAGTACCATCCATACGAATAGCGGTGCTCTTTCCACCGGTCAGAGTCACCCATGATTCGAGCGCATATTCACCGGATGGGACGTACACCACGCCGCCCTCTTTACAGGCAGCCCAGGCAGAGGTGATGGCTGGGCCAATATCAGTCTTTCCATCAGCAACGCCGTCGTAGTCGAGGACGTTGCAGGTTTTGGTACTAGCTTTGGTGGCGTAGGAGGTTGTTGGACCGACGGACCAAGAGGGAGCAGCGGATGCGAGCAATGGCGCCAGGCCGATTGCGAGAAGAGAAGAGATGAACATCGCAGATGTCGAATTAAAGTTGTGAAAAGAGGGTGGAATTGGAAATGAAACAAAATACAACAATGAAAGTAAAAAAAAAAGAAGGGATGGCTGTAGAACAGAGCAGACAAAGGACGGGCGACGCTGTATATCAACACGAGACGCGAGACATGGCTGCTTAAGACAAGTGCTTAAATGTCAAACAGGGCCTTGGCCAAAGCCGACATCCTCCCCGTTCACCCCAGTCAGACCATCCCGGGCCCCACTGAGGCTTCATTGTAAGTGGTACATATTGGGGTCGACGAACTGTGCCGCCTTGTTCGAGGGTGGGTGTTCCGTCCGCGTGGAGCTCCACTGGGAAACGAAACAGCTAGATGTAGAACAACTGTAACAGATATTGGCATTGCCCCACATTTCCAGGGGGCTCTTTGTTGGAGAGGTGAAATTGTCAGGGTGACAGGGGGGCTGAGAGCCGTTTGGTATTGATTGATCGGCAGATTAGAGCTAGTTCTGACGCACCGGGCTCGGCGCTAAGGGTTGTCTTTAGCCGGAGAAAGTTGAAAGAGTCTAGTTAGGGTTCGGATGAGTTTTCCTATTTGCCAGATGGATCCACGTGGTTATAAAATTTCAAAAGGAACAGAGACAGGAGAATGGAAAAAGGGGCGATAGCTGACGAATTGGAAGAAGTGGGTTTAATCAGTTAGGGGCCAGGGCAGTTTATTTGGGTTCAAATTGTTCATCTAATTAATGTATAATAAGGCATCTTTGAGGCGTATACGCATAACTGAGACGCTAATTCAAGATGTAGCTAGTTTAGCAGCACTCAAGTCATCCGGTTTAAAATGTACTGCTACTAGTACTAGTATCCTCCTAACTTCAAGTTCCTTCGAATTCTTAAAGGTCTGCCCACCTGGGCACATCGCCGACCCCAAGTTGAAGAAGCCATACTAGTAGTACCCGGAAAAGGGTCATCCTCGGCAGATTTTAAGCACAGACAACCTTGGAACGTCATCTCAATATATACAGCATCACGCTATTAGGTAGCCACAACCGAGCCCAAGATCTACAAGCGACCTACCAGCCGAAGCCTAGCAATTAGTCCACCAATACGTGACGATCTCGGCAAATATTAACATCTACAACCGAAACAACAAATTTTCTCAAGAGATCTGAATGATATCTAGCTGCAAATTCTAGCTAAAGACTCGACAGCAAGAGCAAGAGGGGTGAGACGGTACAATCATCAACGAACCCCCGTGCATCAGACAAAAGGTTCGCTGAAGTTGCGACTCACACCTCTGCTCATCTTAATAAAATTCTCTCTCCAACCTGTATCCAGCATCCATTTCCCAGGGATACCTTAGATCATCAGACGCTCGACCTGGTTGCGGATGGTGCGGATCTGAGCGTTCAGGTCACTAGCCTCGTTGGTGGTGATGGAGCAAGCGATGACGGGGCGGGAGACACCAGTGGCACGGCCGAGAGCCATCTTGGAGGGAACGTAGACGTAGGGAACGTTCTTGTCCTCGCAGAGGAGGGGCAGGTGCAGAATGATGGGCAGAGGGGTGGTGTCGGCGGCCAGGATGACGAGGTCGGAAGTACCACTAATGACGAAAAATTAGCCTCGAGATAATGTATTTCTTGTCAGGTGGATATTTTTACCGGTTGAGGGTCTTGGTGGTCTCGTTAGCGCCCTTCTTGAGCTGGCGGATGTGACCAGCCTGCTGGACAAGGTCCAGAAGAGACTGAGACAGAGTCTCGTCGGCGATGGGCCAGGCTGTGAAAAAAGTTAGTGGAAGCACCGAGATGAGTGGTAGTGAACAACTTACCGGCGGAGGAGTCTTCGGCCATTTTGATTTCGGTGGAGGAGAATAGTATCAAGAAACCAGATCTTATGAGAAATGGCTCACGCGTAGGATCACTGCCTGTAGGGTAGACGTAAAAAGTGTGGGTGGGTGAAGGTGAGGTGTGGAGTGAAATTTTCGGATTTTGCGGATGAAGATCTTTGATACGGCAGAACATGTACACCGCCTTGTCTGGGCTAACCAGAGCTGGTAGATATCACGTGACGTGCTGACCGCCCTCAAGATGAATACGAATTGGGCCAGGCACATTCCATTTACGGAAGGAACGCGGGGAGTTGCCAATTTCCCTTTTTATTTTTATTTTTGGCAGGCACGATGGAGGACTACAGGAATCACGTGCACTTGTGTAATTTGGGAAGGCGTCAACGCCGAGGGTCAACCTCGTCTTGATTTTCTTTTGTTCCAATGCTTGTCTATCATATGCTGATTCGTATGCTTATATACATTTCATGCAGCGCTTCCTGCGCTCATCTCCCGTGCATCATATCAATTGCTCACGTGCAATTACTATCTCTCATTTTTTCAATCCGTGCTGCTATTCACAATTGTGCTGGCCAGCTTGGAGCGTGCCCGCAGAGCAGGTCCGTACTTGTACAGGACAAAGGGGATCAAGGTTAGAAGCGTGGCAACCAGCGCCAACAACAGACCCGCCCACTGGCTACCGAGATTGTGAAAGAACTGCGATGCGAACAGCGGCGACACAGCACCGAGTGTGTTACGCATGAATCCCTGACCGGCGATTGCGGATGAGGAGTTCTCGCCGTAGCAGTCCGATGTATAACTATAGCAGGACTCGAAGATGAAGAAGATGCCAACACCGATCAATGCCAGTCCGACAATCGGGCCGAACCAGTGCAGCTGCTTATACTGAGTGAAGCTGTAGAT